GGCCCCGCAGACAGTTCAGAAAACTGGCTTAGACTGTAGGGACAGGGGCAGGACCCCTCCATATAGCCCTCCTGGCCTGTGTCCCACACTTCACAAGACTGGACCTGTCTGTCCCTCCTGTGCACTTTCCCTGGCCTGGGTCTGAGTGTGTCTGTTTTCCTCCTTCCTTTAGACCTTGAAGGCCATACGTCAGAGGCGGTGGGGAGGGAGGCCCAGGCCAGATGCTGGCTAGCCAAAGAGACTTGATTAAAAGCAGCTTTGCTAGGGGTGAATGGCTTGGTGTCCTTGGCCTAAAGTAGAGATCAATAAGCAATTGTTTTTCTGTTGGCAAGAAAAAAAAAAATCTCCATTGACTCTTCCAGGAGCTGCCAAGTCTGGTTTTCTTTTCAGGAACACTTGTAGTCCTGTCAGAGGTGGCTCTGAGGAGGACAGGCCTCCTGCTCTGGGGGTGACTGAGACACAGGGCCAGGATTATGGAATATACACAAGAGTAGGTTGTTTCACTATGACAGCAGTCACAGGAACATTCTGGAACATAGTCCCACTGTAGGCATTTAACAGGTTTGTGTTGAAAGAATAGCCTTTGAGCCTCTAAGCTGTGTATTCTGAGTGCATGGCTCATCTGCTCCCTGTGACTGTCAGAAAGGTGCCCAACTTAAAAGGGATCGGAAACTGAGGTAGAGAGGCTAAGGCAAGGCAGGAAAAGGATGAGCCCAAGTTGTGAACATCAAGACCCTGCTTTCCTCTTCCGGAGAGTGAGGACCACACAGGGATATGTAAAGTAACAGCAGCCAGGGCAGCATATGAACTTGGGTGGTATCATTCCATTGTCTGAGAAGCCAAGGGAGGACACAGTTAATGAGTCTTTCTTAGATGGAGTAAGGAGTGGCATTCCTAACATCTTGTGGCTGGTTATTTTCTTTTAAAAATTCACATTTGGGGGCCAGAGAGATGGCTCAGCAGTTAACAACACTGGCTTCTCTTCCAAAGTACCTGGATTTGGTTCCCACCATCCACATAGTTACTGACAACCATCTGTAGCTCCAGTTCGGAGGATCTGATGCCCTCTGTGGGCATTACATGATATAGGTGCACTTACATACATACATGTGGGCAAAGCACTTATATATATATAAAATAAAAATAATTTTTTTTTGGAGACAGGGTCTTTCTGTAGCCCCAGCTGTCTTGGAACTCACTATGTAGAACAGGCTGGCCTTGAACTCACAGAGATCCACCTGCCTCTGCCTCCCAAGTGCTGGGATTAAAGGCATGCGCCACCACGCCCAGCCAACTTTACTATTTTCTTGTGTGTCCTTGAAATATGCAGTGGGTATGCATTACGTATGTGGGTGCACATACGAACTTTCCCCCTAGTAACAGCAGTGGTAAACTAATGCTTTGGTTTTTCAGTGTAGCAGTGTGTTATGGCACTAATGTATGCTGGGCTGTCTTAAAACAAATGCATACTTGCTATTCCCATGGGATGGATGTACTTAACCCTTGCTTGGCCATTCAAACCATACCACCCAGTATCTTGTTATACCATTTTCTACATGTGTGTGGTTGTCCTTTGAATACTTAGGTGTGGGGCTGGAGAGATGGCTCAGCAGTTAAGAACACTGACTGCTCTTGCAGAAGACCCGGTTTTGAATCCCAGCACCCACATGGCAGCTAACAACTGTCTGTAACTCCAGTTCCAGGGGATCCAACAGTCTCTTCTGTCCTCCGTGGGCATTGCACAACACAGGTGCACTTACCTACATGCAGGCAATACACTCATATACATAAAAAAATAAAAATAATAAATAAAATATTTTAGAAAAGAATACTTAGGTGCAGAATTGCCACCTGCATTTGGGATTTAAAAAATAAAAATTTGTTAAATTTTGATGTATTCCTTTCATAAGGAAGGTGCCAATTTACTCCCTAGCAGAAGCATATGGAAGTGTCCTCTTCTCCATAGTGTTACCAGACATGCTGTCTTTGGGCTGATATGCTCAGGGAGTAAAGGCACTTGCTGCTAAGCCTAATGACCAGAGTTTGATCCCTAGGTCCTACATAGTGGAAAGAGAGAATTAATTCCCACAAGTTGTCTTCTGCCTTCCACAAACATGTCATGGCATACACATTTATAATGGAAATAGCCAGGTCATGCCCAACTTTTTACATGGGTGCTGGGGTCTGATCTCAGGTCCTCATACTTGCACAGCAAGTGCTGTTACCTGTACAGTGATCTCCCCAGCCCGGTGTAGGGCGCTTTGTTTTTTTTGTTTTTTTTTAATTTAAACTATGAATGTTGTTCATTTGTGGGCACATGTTGGGTGGTTATTCTCTTGGTGCTTTTCTCACTGGCCTTTTCCCAGCTGCCTTGCATGGCATACTAGATGTTCTGGAAGGATGGTTCTATAAGGGCCCGATGACACGACACTTCTCTGTCTCTCAACTGGATTCTCTAGGGAGCCATGGCTTTGTGCTGCTTTCTACATCTTCCTCTCAAGCACCCCCGCCCCCGCCGCTGCCACCAGTGTGACCCAGGAGGTCATTTTATTCACTCATAAAATCTCCACTAGCACACATTGTTTTCCTGGCCCCTAAAGAGAATTTTTCCACGTTGGGTGATCAACACAGAGTTGCCACTGCATCAGTGATATACTCAACTTCAGCAGCACCTGTGACATTTGTCTAGCAGAATTTGTCAAACACATGAGCCAAAGGTTAATATTCTGTCCAAGAGATGGTGGGAATTGACAGCCTGAGGGAGTGTGTCAGTCTCTTTCCAAAACTGAGTGAGTTAAGAGTTCCTGTGACCTAAAACTAATTTTTTTTGGAGGCGTGGTGCTCAGGGCCTCAAATGCCAGTCAGGAGCTTTGTCGTGGAGCTGCACCCCCCAGTCCTAAAATTAGCCCTCTTAAATTTAGTCAACAGCTCAGTGGCATTTAGTACATGCATGAGGTTATGCAATCACCTCCTCTATCAAGTTCTAAAACATTTTCATTTGCCCAAGACGAACCCCTGTACCCATTAAGCAGTCACTCTGAATTCCCCCAGAGCTCTCCTCAGTCCTTGGTAACCACTAATCTTTTCTCTATGGGTTTGTCTGGTGTGGAAATTTCATTTCAGTAGAATTGTGCAATATGAGGCCTCTTGTGATGGCTTTTCACTTAGTATGATGTTTTCAGGTTTCATGTCTGTTTGAGCCCTTGCCAGAGCTTCTGAAGCCTTTTTATGGCTTCATATGGATGGATGGACCACATTTGGTTAGTCCATTTATCCCATTTATCTGCTGCCTTCTTTCTTTTGGCAATAATGAATAGTGATTTTGGGGGATACTCTTAGAAATGGGCCATATGGAAATTCTCTAACTTTTCAAGGAACTACCTAGCTATGATGTCACTTTTTTTTTCTAAGGGTCTCTAAGGGCCTCAAACTTACATTATAGGGGTCTGCTAGCACATTCCTGCTGCTTATGACAACATGCTGGTTATAAGCACAGGCAGTCATACCTGGCTTTTCATGTGGTGTTGAGGATTCAAACTTAGGTTCTTAGGTTTACAGAGCAAGTGATCTTACTCAGTGAGAGCTATCTTCTCAACCCCTGTTCATTTTTGAGATAAGGTCTCACTTGGTAGACCAGACTGGTTATCAGACTCTCAGGATTTCCCTGTTTCTGCTCCCTAGTACTGGGTTATAGGCACACGTGGCCATGCGTGACTTTTTATGTGGTGGTTGAGATTTGAACTCACGTCTTCATGCTTGTAGAACAAGCAGTCTTATTCACTGAGCCATCTCCCCAGCCCGTTTATTTTTATTTTTGTTTTTTGATAAAAGGTCTTACTATGTAGCCCTGGATAGCCTGAAACTTGTTATGTAGCCCAGACTCACCTGGATTCTATTCCTGCCCCCTTCAGAACAGGGGTCTGATAGAACACCCTTGCTGCTTATGATATCGTCAACAAAGTGCTCTCTTAGTCATTGCAGTGTACAACATGGAGGGTATAGGTAGAAGGGTTTCATTTGGAAGGCCAGGTATGGTGGAACACAGCTTAAATCCTGGCAGAGGCAGATGGATCTATGAGATCCAGGCCAGCCTGGTCTACATAGCAAGTTCCAGGCCACCTGGGAGTACCCGCAGACCTTATCTCACAAAAGGGTTTCATTTGACCTGTCCAGCATTTAAAAAGACTTCAGATAATTGCTATTAAAAAAACAATCGGGTCTGGAGAGATGGCTCAGCGGTTAAGAGCACTGACTGTTCTTGCAGAGGACCCAGGTTCAATTTCCAACACCCACATGATGGCTAACAACCATCTGTAACTCCAGTTCTGGGAGAATCTGACACCTTCTTCTGACCTCCGTGGGCATTGCACAACACAGGTGGCACTTACACACATGCAGGCAATACACTCATACACATAAAATAAGAATAATAAATTTTTTTTTTTAAAAAAAGGAGAGGACTTTATAGATAGCTTAGTTGACAAAGTGCTTGCTGTGTAAGCATGAGGACCTGAGTTCTGTTTCTAGTACTCACATAAAAAGCTGGGTGTGGGGGCTGGGAGATGGTTTATCAGTTAATAGAAATATTGTTCTTCCAGAGGACCTGACTTCAGTTCCCAGCGGCCATATTGGATGGCTCACAACTACTTGTAATTCCAGGTCCAGGGGCTCTGACACCAATGGCCTCTGAGGACACTGGCCCTTATGTGCATAACCCAATTCCACACATACACACATAATTCAAAAAAGAAAGCTTGGTGTGTTATCACATGCTTATAATCCTAGTGCTGAGAAGATGGGTACAGACTGACTCTGGGGCTCGCTGGCCATCCAGCCTGATCTAGTTGGCGAGACACAGGTCCTAGTGAGAGACCCTGCTTCAAATATCAAGGTGGCTGACTGCTGATGAATAATGACTGAGGTTGACCATCTGCGTGCGCACGCGCGTGCACACACACACACACACACACACACATACACACACACACAGACAATTAAGAGACCTCAATATCTTGGTCAATGTGGCTAAACTGAGACAGGTTATGCGTCCATCACAGTAAGTGCATTGCAGTAGTGACAATGAGACTTGTAACATTTTGGAAAAAAAAAAAAAAAAGACCCCCAAACTCCTAATGGCTTGTTTTTCTCACTCTGTCTTTTAGAGACAGGGCCTCCTGTGGTCCAGGCTGACCTCAAATTCACTATGTAGCCAAGAGAATGACCTTGAACTTCTGATCCTCTTGCCTCCACCTCTCCAGGGCTGAGATTACAGGGGTGTACTACCACACCCAGTTTTCGCAGTGCTAGAGATTGAACCAGGGCTTTGTACATGCAAGGCAAGCCCTCTACCAGTTGAATTACATGTTCACCCCCAGCAGATCGTCTCTTGAGGGAAAGAAAAGTAGGGGTTGGGGGAAGCTAGACAATAGTAGACCCAGATCCCCGCTGATCAGCAGTGCCAGTTTTCTTGGGGATAGCTTTGCTATTTGGGGGATCCCTTATGCTTTCTTAGAGGAATTGAATTTGGATTCCTTGTCATGGTGTGTGAAAAGGGATGTAACAAATATATTTCTTTGGGGTGTGGTGGCACACACCTTTAATCCCAGGCAGGTAGATCTCTGTGAGATGGAGGCTAACCTGGTCTACATAGAGGGTATCAGGCCACTGGGGCTACAGGGAGACCCTGTCTCAAAAAGACCCCCCCAAAAAGAAAATATATATATATTTGTATAACTCAGATCATGTCAGACTCTATTTGCAAGATTTTCTTTCAAAGACAGGTTCTTGTTATGTAGCCTAGGCTGACCTTGAATTCCTATTCCTGCCGCCTGAGTACTGAGATTATAGATGTGTGCTACCATACCTGCCTGGCTAAATGTATTTTTTGTTTTTTCTAAGATAGTCTCATTCTGTAGCTCAGGCTAGCCTGTAGCTTACTATGTAGCCCAGGCTGGCCTCTAATTCCTAGTGCTCCTCCTACCTCGGCCTCCCAAGTGCTATACCACCATACTGGGCTGTTAGATGTAGAACCAAAATTAGACACCAGCCTGGCCTAGAGGAGGGAATCCCTTCCCTATCCCTGCTGGCTAAGCATTTCTCTTTCTCTCTCTCTCTGCAGGCGGCTCTGCTGCCAATGGAAGTTCCCTGGCCTGGCGGTTGAAGTTGGTCTACGCACCATGTCATCATGTGTCTCTAGCCAGCCCAGCAGTGACCGGTCAGCCCCCCAGGATGAGCTGGGGAGCCCAGGCAGCAGCCGAGAAAGCCAGAAGCCCTGTGAGGCCCTGAGGGGCCTTTCATCTTTGAGCATACGTTTGGGCATGGAATCCTTCATTGTGGTCACTGAGTGTGAGCCAGGCTGTGCTGTGGACCTCAGCCTGGCCCGGGACCGACCCCTGGAGGTGGATGGCCAGGAAGTCCCCCTCGATGCTTCAGAATCTGAGGCACGGCCCCTGCTTTCTAGTCGCAAACTGTCCCTGCAGGAGCAGTCCCAGGGTGGGCCAGTATCTGGCAGCAGCCTGGACATGAATGGACGCTGCATCTGCCCGTCCCTGCCCTACTCACCTGCCAGCTCCCCACAGTCCTCGCCAAGGCTGCCCCGACGACCCACAGTGGAGTCACACCATGTCTCTATTACTGGTTTGCAGGTGTGGGAGCTGGGTGAACTGGGATTGGGGTGGGTAGGGACAAGAAGATGATGGGTGTATGGACATCCTGGGCTATAGCATAAGACCTTGTCTCATAAAAACAAAACAAAAACCTGCACATTTCAAGTGTACACAAATTAATTTAGCTCTTTCTACCACTCAAGACCTCTGGCATTTTCTGTGCCTCAGTAGTCCGTCCCTCCTCCATGTTCCTTTCATGGTAATTGCTGAACTGCTTTTTTTGAGACTGGATCTCACTGTGTAGCCCAAGCTGGCCTTGAACTGTTGGTGATCCTCCTTCCTCAGCTTCTTGAATACCAGGATTATAGGTATGCACCACCACTCTCACCTTCTGAAGTGCTTTTTATATCATTTTAGATTCATTTGCAAGTTCTAGAATTTTATGAAAGCTGGTTCATTTCCTGGACACTCTTTTTTAGCTCAGTTTCTTCCTCACCTAATGATTTTGAGATCTAACCATGCTGTTGGATACACTCTTGGCCCCAGTAGCTACAGATTCCAGCCAACCAAGGATAGAAAATATTCAGAAGGAAAAAATTGCAACCTTAGGAGCCTAACGCAGGCTTAATTCTCCCTAGTCATTAAATGGTAATTTAAACAGTTATTGTCTCTAAGCAATTCAGTAGAATGACTTACATAACACTGACATTGTATTAGATATATATAAGTAACCTGGGAATGTGAGGAGAGGGTGCTGAAGAGATGTCTCAGTGGTTAAGAGTGCTTGCTGCTCTTGCAGTGGACCCAAGTTGGATTCCCAGCATTCAAGTCTTGTGGTCCACAACCACCTCTGACTCCAGCTCTAGGATCTCATGCCTTCTTCTAGCCTCTATGGGCTTGAGCTCACCTCCCCCCGCCCTTACACACACACACACACACACACAAACACACTTAAATAAGTTGTGAGGGAGGAGGGCTGGGTGTGATAGTACACATCTATAACCTCAGAGGCAGAGGTAGGAGGATACTTCAAGGCCAGCCTGGTCTACACAGTGAATTCCAGGCCAGCTAGAGCTGTCTCAGTTCCCCACTGCCAAAACTTGTATGAGGGAGGCTATGTCAAGGTTATGTATTGTGCTGTAGCAGTGCTATGCCATTTTCTGTAAAGGACTTGAGCATTTGTGTGCTTAGTATCTGTAGGGGGTTCTAGAACATGATATGATTGTGGCTTAGTTGGTAGAGTGCTTGCTTAGCATGTATGAAGCCCTGAGTTCAGTCCCTAGTACCTTATAAGTCATACATGGTGCTGCATACCTGTATCCCAGCACTTGGGACATGAAGGCAGTAGATCAAGGTTATTTTCAGATAAATAGCAAGGTATTTTTGTATTATTGTTGTTGTTATTAGACAGGGTCTCCCCGGCTGGCCTGGAATGCACTATGTAGCCCAGGCTGGCCTTGATCTCACAGAGATCTGCCTATCTCTGCTTAAGTGCTGGGATTAGAGGTGTGTGCCACTAAGCACAAGGTTTTCCTTTAACAGAATATTTTATTTATTCTTTGATAATTTCACAATATAAACAATGTATCTTGAGTATATCCACCTTGAATTTCCCCTCCCACTTCCCTAGGTACCCCCAATGCATCCTCCAACCCCTTTCATGTTCTTTTTCTCTTTTTGTTTTGTAACCCTATGAATCCAATAAATGCTGCCTGTGGGAATGTTGACTGAGCTTGTTAGCTTGGTCTTCTGTAGGTTACCATCGCTACAATGAGTTCATGCGCACACTGGCCATGTCATGCCTAGAAGATACCCTCTTTCACCTCCTTTGGCATGCATATATATATATATATGCATTTTTTCCTTCCTCCTTCTGCAATGTTCCCTGAGTCTTGGTGTGGTGTGGGTGATATAGATGTCCCATTTAGGGTTGAACACTTAATAGTCACTTACCTGTTGTGAGTCTCTGCATTAATTGCTGGCTGCTGCAGAGAGAAGCTACTCTAGCCAAGGTTGAAGGTAGCACTAATCTATAGGTATAAACATAAGTATTTAGAAGACAGTTTGGCCACAAGTCATTTAGCAAAACAGTAGTAAGTTAATTCCTAGGGCCTCTGACCTTGGGCCATGGGCTTTTGACCTGGTTTACAGTGCCAAGCAGGAATGCCCTCCTGTGGAGCAGGTCTCAGATCAAATCAGAAAGCAGTTGGTTACCTTCCTAACCTTTATGCCACTGTTGCACAAGGGAACACATCTTGCCTGGCAGGTCTGTAGCACACAGTTCACTGCTGGGTAATACCATTGATGCCTTTCTCTCCCAGTGGCCTGCATTGCACCTTCTGGCACTATCAAATCTTGCCAGCAGGGAAGAAGTTTCCAGGTCAGTTCCAGCTTGATTTCTGGTGTCCTGCATCCAAAGTGTCTTGTGTCTTCAGCAATAGGGTTTTGCCATCTACCTATGGTGAGCAACCAGGGGCAATGGCAATAGTCTCTGTTGTTTGGGGGGGGGGGCTCTGGAGCCTCCCTGACCTATACCTTGTAGGGAGGTATCCTGTGCCTGGCCCTGAGATTTTCATTTAGTAACCCATGTCTTATGGGGGAAACATTGTCCACCCATGCAAGGGACTTATGTTCAAACTCTTCTATTTTTAAAAATATTTTATTTTTTATGTGTATGAATGTATTACTTGCATTTATATATGTACATCTGTGTCATGAAGTGCTTGTGAGGGACAGAAGAGGGCATTGAATCCCCTGGAACTGGAGTTATGGACAGTTGTTAGTCACCATGTGGGTGCTGGGATTTGAACCTGAGGCTTCTGGAAGAGTAGCCAGTGCTCTTAAAAGCCATCTCTCAGCTGGGCGTGGTGGTGCACGCCTTTAATCCCAGCACTTGGGAGGCAGAGGCAGGCGAATCTTTGTGAGTTTGAGGCCAGCCTGGTCTACATAGTGAGTTCCAGGACAGCTGGGGCTACAAGGAGACCCTGTCTCAAAAAAGACCAAAAAAAGAAGAAAAAGAAAAAATGAGAGAGAGACACTCTTCCAGGGTGTGTGCCCACTTTCCATTCTGCCAACAGTGTGGAAGGTCACAGCACATGGTCTGGTCACACATTCTGATTTTAGTTGGCCTGGTGTGGATTTCATGTCTGTTTCCTTTATGACGAATGTGCATCTTATGTCCTCATTGACTACTTATCCATCTTCTTTAAGGAAATTTCTGTTTAGGTCTTTCCCCATTTTTAAATTAGGTTGTTAGATTTCTTCTTGCTGAGTTGTAAGTGTTCTTTATGTACTGTGGATACCATTCCATAGTCCTAATATATATATGTGTGTTGTGAAATGTTTACTACAATTTTTTTGTAGACAGCCTCATTTAGCCCAGGCTAGCCTCAAACTTACTATGTAGCTGAGGATAACCTTCAACTCTGGATTTTCCTGCCACTACCTCCCTAGTGCAGGCAAGTTAGTTTTTATTTTAGTTTATTTTATATTTTATTTTTTAAATTTTTTTGGGGGGGGATCTTTTTGAGACAGGATCTCCCTGTAGCCCAGCTGACCTGGAACTCGATATGTAGACCAGGCTGGCCTCGAACTCACAGAGATCCACCTGCCACTGCCTCCCAAGTGCTGAGATTAAAGGTGTGAGCCACCACGCCTGGCTTATATTTTATTTTGATGCAGGGTCTCATTATGGAGCCCCGGCTGCCCTGGAACTCACTACTTGGATCACTTGGATCAGTCTGACTTAAACTAAATCCACCTGCTCTGCTTCCTAAGTGCCGAGCTAAAGGTGTATGTCACCACGCCTGGCTATTTTTTATGTATTATTTTAAGAATTTTTTTGAGTTTGACATTTATTTATTTTTTATGTGTATACACATGTGCATACTCTGTGTATGGAGTGTGCAAGTGTCACAGTGTGTGTGGAGGATGACTTGAGGGACTCTGTTCTCTGCTTCTACCCTGTGGATCCCAGGGCTTGAACTCGGGTCATCAGGCACTAACCCACTAACCCACTTTACCCAGTAACCCATCTTGCTGGTCCCAATTTATTTTTATTTTTATTTATTTATTTTTTTAGTCTTTTTGAGACAGGTTCTCCCTGTAGTCCTAGCTGGCCTGGAACTTGCTATATAGACCAGACTAGCCTTGAACTCACAGAGATCTGCCTGCCTCTGCCTCCCGAGTACTGGGATTAAAGGCATGTGCCACCATGCCTGACTGTACATGGCTATTTTATGTGGATCTCAGAGTCGAACTCAGGGTCTTCATACTTGTGGCACAATCATGTTACCAATTGAGCCATCACCCCAGCCCAATATGCACTTTTTTAATACTCATTTTTGTTTTGTTTTGTTTTTGTTTTTTGTCTTTTTGAGACAGGGTCTCCCTGTAGCCCCAGCTGTCCTGGAACTCACTATGTAGAGCAGGCTAGCCTCGAACTCACTGAGATCCTCCTGTCTCTGCCTCCTGAGTGCTGGAATTAAAGGCGTGCGCCACTACACCTGGCTAGATATATTTTTGAGAGTGGCAAAAACCTTAAAAAATGAGTATTGGCAAAGATCTCTGTGAGTTCAAGGCCAGCCTGGTCTATATAGCAAGTTCTAGGCCAGCCAGTGCTACATAGTGAGACACTACCCTCTTCCCCAAAACAAAAATGGTCTGAATGTGGTAGTGCACACCTTTTTTCCAAGCACTCAGGAGACAGAAGCAAGTGAGTATCTGTGAGTTAGAGGCCAGCTTGGCCTACCAAGTGAGTTCCAGCCCAGCTAGGGCTACATAGTGAGATCCTCTATCAACAACAAAAAATATGATGGACCTTTCCTGAGCAACACTACCTGAGGTTTATCTCTGATCACCACATACATGTGCACACATATGCACCTGTGCACACATGAATATATATATGTACACACAATAATGTTCATCATTATTATTTTAGGGGGGGCACTAAGAATCAAACCCAGGAGCTTGTGCATACTAGGCAAACACCTTGCCACTGAACTATACCTTCAGCCTACATTTATCAATAGCACATTTTGGAAAAGTACACCACCAAGCACGATCTTTGCTGTTAGAAGTTAGGATAGTGGTCATCCTGGAGAGGTCTCTCTGGGGAACTGGGGGTGTTCTCTTTCTTTCTTTCTTTCTTTCTTTCTTTCTTTCTTTCTTTCTTTCTTTCTTTCTTTCTTTCTTTCTTTCTTTCTTTCTCTAAAAAAATCCCTCCCTCCCTCCCTCCCTCCTTCTTGTCTTTTGTTTTGTTTCTTTTTGCTTGTTTGAGGCAAAGTGTCACTATGTAGCTCTGACTGACTTGGAACTTGCTCTGTAGACCAGGCTGGCCTTGAACTCACAGGCATCCTCCTGCCTCTGTCTCCCAAGTGCTAGGATAAAAGGTGTGAGCTACCCTGCCAGGGCCTATGTTCACTTTTTTGATTTTTTAAATTTATTTTTATTTTTTATTTATTTATTTTTTGGTGTTTTTGAGACAGAGTCTCCCTGCAGCCCAGCTGTCCTGGAACTCACAGAGATCTGCCTGCCTCTGCCTCCTGAGTGCTGGGATTAAAGGCGTGCACCACCATGTGATGTTTATGAGTGTTTTGCCCCCATGTATGTAAGTATAAGATGTGCGTACAGTATCCTCAGGCCAGAAGAGGCATCAGATCCCAGTTAAGGATAACTGGAGTTAAAGATAGTTGTTAGCTGCCATGTGGGTACTGAAAACTGAACCAAGGTCCTCTCTAAGAGCAGCCAGTGCTCTTAAGTGCTGAGCCATCTTTCCAGCCCCTTGTTTTGGTTTTTGAAGCAGGGTCTCATGTAGCCCAGGTTACCTTTGAGCTTACAATGTAACCAGTGCTGGCCTTGAACTCTTGATTCTAGCTCAGCCTATCAAGTGCTGGGACTCTGTGGAATTGAGTCCTAGTTATATGTGTGCATTTATTTTGTGATAAATGTATCACTTGCTCATGCAAGATTAATTTCTTTGTCCCTCTTTACTTTCCAGGACTGTGTGCAGCTAAATCAGTACACACTGAAGGATGAGATTGGAAAGGTAAATGTCCCAGGAGCCAGACTGGCTTTCCATCTTGACCAGGGTTATCCCTGACCCTTTGGAGAGAGCCAATAGAGCTGGGAAGAGGAAAGGGACCTTTGGAGACCAGGCTGGTGGGTTGGAAGGGTATTTTCATTAATGATCTAGTTGTGTGTGCGTGTGTGTGTATGTAGGCTAGAGGCTGATGTCAGATATCTTTCCTTGATTGCTTTTCACCTTAATTTTTGAGACTGTCTCTCTCACTGATCCTGAAACTCCAGGGATCCTCCTGTCTCTGTCTTCCTAGCCTTAGGCTTATAGGCGTGCACCACCATGCCCTACATTTTTTTTAAAGATTGTGTGCATGTGTGTGTGTGTGTGCAGTGCGTGCGTGTGTGTGCACGCACATGCATATGGAAGCCAGAAGAGGGCGTGTTGGATCCCCTGGAATTGGAATTACAGGGGGTCATGAACCACTAGATATGGGTGCTGGGAACCAACTGCTGAGCCATCTCTCCAGCCCAAGCCCAACTTTTTTATATGTATTATGGGACTTGAACTCAGGTCCTCTTGCTCGCACAGGTAGCACTTTACCCACTGAGCCATCTCCCTATCCCTGGGAAAGTGGGTTTTTGTATTAGCTCTTTCCCTTTAAATGTTGGTAAATTCAGACTTTGTAAAAACTATGGGTTCAACAAAATCCAATTACAGGGCACATCTGCCCAGTGGGATGCAGGCTGTGGCCTCTGTGTTAGAACCATCATTTCACAGAGCATTGCTTCTGGATGGTGTGTCATAGGCATCTCCCTTTATACAGGGCTCCTATGGTGTGGTCAAGTTGGCCTACAATGAAAATGACAATACCTACTATGTGAGTATGCATACTCTCCTCCAACCCCACCCCATCCCAGTCCAGAGAAATGCCTCCTTCCTAGCACTCAGCTTTGAGGAAGGCTTGAATAGCTGTGATAGGGAAGTGGAGGGGGTGCTCTGAGCTGCCCTTCCTGTGTCCTCCATAGCACTGAAAATAAGGCAGTACATGACCAATTGCCCTTCTAGCTTTGCAGTCAGTCCAGTACAGGTTCAAATCCCAGTTCTAACATACACCAACTCTGCAACTTTGAGCAAGTGGTGTTGCCATGTGTGTAAAGCAGCCATCATACCCCTCCTTGGCCCGTTGCTCTGGCTCACTTGTCTGACAGGAGTAGCAGGAGTCATAAGCTGGTTCATGCTGGTCAGAAGGCTCTCACTGCATTGCTCAAGGCTGCCAAGGGCATGGGAACTCCATGCAGGGTTTGGAGAGGAAAGAGCCCTCCATCTCTCTCCCTTCTCCCTTTTTTTTTTTTTGGTCTTTTTGAGATAGGGTCTCCCTGTAGCCCCAGCTGTCCTGGAACTCACTATGTAGACCAGGCTGGCCTTGAACTCACAGAGATCCGCCTGCCTCTGCCTCCCAAGTGCTGGGATTAAAGGCCTATGCCACCACATCTGGCTCCTTCTCCCTTCTTTAACCATACTCAGGGTCTGTTCTTCTGCAGGCAATGAAAGTACTATCTAAAAAGAAGCTGATCCGACAGGCTGGCTTTCCACGTGAGTGTCATGGGCCTTTCTTCTAAGGTATAGGGGCTGGGGCAACACAGAGCAGAGCCCACTGAAGGGGCTCCCCAGCAGACAGCACCCTGGGAATATATCCCATTCCACTCAGGGCTTCCCATGAAAACTGCTGGGCCTCTTGATACAGTTCTATATTTTTTATTTAAGAAGTTTATCCATGCTGGGTGTGTTGACACACGCTTTTAATCCCAGCACTCAGGAGGCAGAAGCAGACAGATCTCTATGAGTTCAAGGCCAGCCTGATCTACATACTAAATTTCAGGTCAAGCAGGGCTACACAGAGACCATATCGGAAAAAAAAAAGAAAAAGTGTAGCTATCCAGCTTAGTATTTAGCCTTTTTGCAGGTGGGTGGGGACAGATATAATTTAAATAGCTCATAGTATTTAATTTTCTTTTGCATGTGTATGTGTGTGGCCAGACATGTATGCATGTGCACGTGTGCATGTTCCTGTGTGGGGAGGCTAGAAGCTGACCTCAGGTATCTTCCTTGATTGGTTTCTACTTTATTTACTGAGTCAAAGTTTCTCACTGACCCAGAGCTAGCCAATTCAGCTAGTCTTGGTGGCCTGCCTTCCCCAGGAACCCATCTCTATCCATGAGTACTGGGATTACAGGCGGTTGCCACCCCACCCCCACCCAGCCTGATTTTTATGTGGGTTCCTGGGATCCGAACTCCAGTCCTCTCACACTTTCATGACAACTGAGCCATCTCCCAGGCCCCAATGTTTACCTATTTATTTTGAGACAGGTCTTACTGTGTGTCCCTGGCTGGCTTGGAACTCACAGAGATCCACCTGCCTCTGCCTCCTGAGTGCTGGGATCCACCTGCCTCTGCCTCTCAGTGCTGGGACTGAGTTAGGACAAGCAAGATAAACCAGGGTCCTGACAGGGATTGTATGACTTTTTTCTTTCTTTCTTTTTTTTAATATTTTAATTTTTTTTTTTTTTGTCTTTTTGAGACAGGGTCTCCTTGTAGCCCCAGCTGTCCTAGAACTCACTATGTAGACCAGGCTGGCCTCAAACTCACAAAGATCCACCTGCCTCTGCCTCCCAAGTGCTGGGATTAAAGGCATGCACCACCACGCCCGGCAAATATTTTTAAATTTTTTATTTATTTTTATTTTAGATGTGTGAATGTGTTGCCTGAGTCATGTGCCACCAAACCTACCTCAATATGTAATTTTTAATTTGACATTTAAAATGTTTTAATGGGTGGGTGTGGTGGCGCACGCCTTTAATCCCAGCACTCAGGAGGCAGAGGCAGGTGGATCTCTGTGAGTTCGAGGCCAGCCTGGTCTACATGGTGAGTTCCAGGACAGCTGGAGCTACAGGGAGACCCTGTCTCAAAAAGACGAAAAAGAAAATGTTTTTATGGCTTTAAAATTTTTTTAAATCTATTCTTTTTTTCATGTGTGCGGATTTTTTTCCAACAAGGTCTCATAATAGCTGAGGTTGGCCTTGTACTCCTGATCCTCCTGCAGCCAGTGGATAAACTTTTTTTTTTTTTTTCGGTCTTTTGAAATAGGGTCTCCTTTGTAGCCCCAGCTGTATACCAAGCTAGCTGACCAGCCAGCTTCCAAGGGTCCACATGTTTCCACCTCCCATCTTGCTGTAGTAGTGCTGGGACTGCTGTGTGCTACCATGCCTAGCCTTATGTGGGTTCTGGGCCTCCAGACTCAGAGCATTACATTTGTATGGCAAATACTTTATCTATTGAGGCCTCTCTAGCCCTGATTTACTTAGTGTGTGTGCGTGTGTTTCTGGTGACTGACCCCAGGGCACTGAGATATATCCGCAGCCCCAGCTCTAACCCAACTTGTAGTTAGCACTGTATTTGCTGTAATTCCTGCATATGGTCAGATGACAGACTTGCAGTGAACCTGGCAGAGACAGACTGTTCAGCCTATGCTTTCTGTTAGCAGCGCTGGGCCAAGAGTCAACTTAGGCTAAAGGAGAATAGATAAGAAAAAAACATCAATAGGGCTTGGAGAGATAGCTCAGAGGTTAACAGCACTGTCTGCTCTTGCAGAGGACCTGGGTTCAATTCCCAGAACCCACATGACGTCTAATAACTATCTGTAAATCCAGTTCCAGGGGATCTGACACCCTCTTCCGATCTCAGTGGGCATTGCACAACACGGGTGCATGTACATACATACAGGCAACACATTCATACATATAAAATAAAAATAAATTAAAAAAATATATTAAAAAAAGAAAGAAACATCAATCCCTGTCAGGACCCTGGTTTATTTTGCTTGTCCTAACTCTTGTGGCTACTAATTGATTTATTCCCCATTGACACCTGCTGCTGACTTCCAGTGAAATGAAGGTTTTCCTGGCTCACACCATACCTTGACTCCAACATTCTCAGCTCAGAGACTGGGTGGCTTAAACACACACATTTGTTACAGTTCCTGGAGCTGGGCCACATGTGGTACCTTCCCATTGTATACTGACCCCATGGAGAGACCTATAGCTTTCTGGGGTCTCTCTCTTCTTTCTCTCTGTGCTGATACACATGATCGTGGAGGCCACAGCAGGACATCAAATGTCTTCTGTATCACTCTCCATGTTATTGCCTTGAAACAGGATTTCTCACTGAACTGGAGGCTCTATTTTTTTTGGCTAGGCTGGCTGTCCAGCTAGCTCTCAGGATCCACTTGCCTCAGCCTCCCAGTGCTGGGGTTTCAGTCATGTGCAACTATGACTGGCTTTTTACATGGGTGCTGGGAATTGGAACTCAGAGCAAGTACTGTTACTGCTGAGCCATTGCCCTAGCCCCTGAGGTCTTTTTTAAAAAAAATCTTTCATAACAGCATTAATCACATCCACAGGGCTCCCTCATGACCTAATCATCTCCCAGATGCCCACTTCCTGATACTACTCCACTAGGAATTAGGTTTCTACAGAATCTAGACTGTAGACTGTAGTTCCTCCCTTCCTCCAACCAGGCAATAAAATGTTTGGCTTCTTCATTTTGATCCATCTGCTGTACCCAGTGTACTCTGCTCACTTTTTCAGTTCTTTCTCAAAAACTTTTTAGACAGGGACTCACTATGTAGCCCTAGCTGGCCTAGAGCTTGTGTAGACCAAGCTAGCCTTGGACTCATAGAGATAGATGTTCCTGCCCTGCCTCCCCACTGCTGGGATTAAAGGCATGCACCACCATGCCCAATGCAATTTTTTTTTTTTTTTTTTTTTTTTTTTGCCGCTCAGAGTACTGGAATTAAAGGCGTGTACTACCATGCCTGGCTATTCAAATTTTGTTTTTGAGCAAGGTCTCTCAGGGTAACCCAGGTTGATCTCAAACTTTCAATCCTCCTGCCTCAGCCAACTGAGTGCTGCCATGACAGGTGTACACACTATGCCTGACTCCTATGGGTCCCTTTTTAAATGAGGCTTTGAGTCTGCTTCTGTCCTTGCATACCCCTTCTGACAGCTGTGTCTGGTTTTCCTTGCCCAAGGCTGGCCACAGCTGCTACCTATTCCTAGAGGCATCTGTGTGTGACATGGGTTTTGACTATGGAACTTTTTCATTGAGTTCTGGAGTAGTCTTGATTTTTCTCTCATTGACTTATTTTGTTTCCTCTCCCTGACCTCCTGGTACGCCTGTGCCATTTTCATGAGTTGAGGTAAGGAATAAGGTTTATGCCCATTTTATAAAATGGGAAAATGGAGCCCCAGAGAGAAGTGATTGGTTTGCTGTGGATTTTAATTTTAATTTTAATTTAAAAAAATTTTTTTTTTGTCTTTTTGAAGCAAGGTCTCCCTGTAGCCCCAGCTGTCCTGGAACTCACTATGTAGACCAGCTCAAAAATTTTTTTAAAAAATTAAAACCCAGCCGGGTGTGGTGGTGCACACCTCTAATCCCAGCACTCGGGAGGTGGAGGCAGGCGGGTCTCTGTGAGTTCAAGGCCAGCCTGGTCTTCATAGTGCGATCCAGGACGGCTGGGGCTACAGGGAGACCCTGTCTCAAAAAGACCAAAAAAAAAATGAAACAATTTTTTTTTGATTTATTGCCGGGCATGGTGGTACATGCCTTTAATCTCAGCACTTGGGAGGCAGAGGCAGATGAATCTCTGGTCTACATAGGGAGTTCTAGGCCAGCTGAGGCTACAGGGAGACCCTGACTCAAGAAGACAAAAAGAAAACAAAAATAAATTTTTTGATTTATTTATATTTTCTGTGTATGGGTGTTATGCCTGCATATATGTAAGTGCATCTGTGTCACGTAGTGCCTGCGGAGGACAGAAGAAAGCACTGGATCTCCTGGAACTGGAGTTATGGATGATTGTTAGCTGCCATGTGGGTGCTAGGATTCAAACCCAGGTCTTATGCAAGAGTAGCCAGTGCTCTTGAAAACTGAGCCATTTCTTCAGCCCCAGATTTTAATTTTCTTTGTAAATAGTATCTCACATATTTCAATCTGGTCTCAAACTCACTATGTAGCTGAGGATGACCTTGAATTCTGATCTTCCTGTCTTTACTTCCTGGGTACAGATACTACAGGGGTACACCGCCACCACACCCAGTTTTATGTAGTGCTGGGGAGCCATCTCAAGGCCATGTGCGTTCTAGGAAAGAGTTCTACCAACTGAGTCACATCCCAGCTCCTTTCCTGGGATGTTGAGATAGCTGAGTCAAGTCAGTATCTTCATTGTGTCTCTGTCACTGTGCAAATTGGGCATGTAGAGGGGAAAAGGGATTAACAGAAAGAGGGCTGGGGGTTCCAGCCCCTCCAATTTCCAGCAGCAGGACAGATAGGTAAAGAAAAGGCTGGTAAAGCTCCTGAGGGCATCAGCCACTCTAGCCCTGCTGAGTTTTTGCCCCTTCGGTTGTCCCACCAGAATCTATTCTCTGCAGAACAAGGTCTCTTTGCCTTAAGTCTTTGTGTCTCCTACAGGTCGCCCCCCGCCCCGAGGTACCCGCCCAGCTCAAGGGGGTTGCATCCAGCCCAGGGGCCCCATTGAACAGGTATACCAGGAAATTGCCATCCTCAAGAAGCTGGACCACCCCAATGTGGTAAAACTGGTGGAGGTGAGGAGGGGATGCAGAGGAGGGAGGGGGAGGCTGATGGTCCAGTCCTTGCTTTGTTATCTAAGCAACTCATCACTAGTTTCCATGGAGAACTAAGTTAAATCAGCTGTCTACTGCAGGACTAAGAACTTTGGTCCCTCATACTCCCTCACCACTGCCACTTCGTGGTATTCTCACTTCTTCCTCAAGACTGCCTATTACTCCCATCTTACACATGTAAAAGTTGAGGCTGAGAGCACCCAAGGCTTGTCCTTTTTCCACTTCTGTCTTTTGGAATCAGTGTGTCTTTCTGCTATACATGTAGGTAGTTGAAGCACAGAAGTAACCACACATATAAACAAGTGAGGGCCATCGAGTTAGCTCAGTAGGTAAAAGTGGTTGCTGCCTGACTGTGGTCACTGAGAAGTAACCAGTTGCTGCTGATGAACTGAAGTTGAGACCAGGAGACTCCAGAAGACTCCAGGAGACTCCAGCCTATGCTACTCAGGAGTGCCTATTACAATACCTTGAAAGCCTTTTATTAGGATAACTCAGTGTAAAGAATTCATACAAAGCTCACAAATGATTGATGCTTAAGCAGTACAAAACAGGAATTTCCTTATCACTGTAGTCAGGAGAACAAAGCCATGGTACATGTATTGAAACAACTTGCACAAAGCAAGAGTTGTTAGCCTAAGTCTGATGGCTGTACTATCTCTCCATCCTGTTCCCAGGGTTCTAGATGGAGGCAAAGCCCTGCTCCCAGCATCCTGGGAGGGAGCAGGCACAGGCATTCCTTTTGTCAGTTGAGTAAGGAAGTTTCTTAACCCTGGGTGCTATTTGTCTCTAAGGGACAAAGGAGGTGGCTATACCTCAAAGACTTGAGTTCATTCTCTGGAACCCATGTAAAATTGGAAGGAGAGAACTGACTCCACAAAGCTGTCCTCTGACTTCCATGTGTGCGCTATGGCACAAGCATGTGCCTATATACACACAATAATGATAACTAAAATTTAAACAAAATAAGTGAGCATGACTGTGTTCCAATAAAACCTTTATTACAAAGGTTGGAGGAGAGCTGGATTCAGGTCCCACTCCATTTAGCCAGCCCTTGCTCCACATCAACAATTCTCATACTTTTTGTCTCAAGATGGCTTGATGTTTTTAAACATTATCAAAGTCTGCTGGGTATGGTAGTGCATGCCTTTAATCCCAGCACTTGGGAGGCAGAGGCAGGCAGATCTCTGTGAGTTTGAGGCTAGCCTGGTCTACATAGCTAGTTTCAGGCCAGCTGGGGTTAAAGGGAGACCCTGTCTCAAAAAAAATTAAAAAAGAAAACAAAACTAAGAAGTAATATAAACCGACAGTATTTAAATTATTTATGAATTTATTGAAAAATAACCTTATATATGAACATGAGTAATATATGTTTATGAAAAATAACCATTTCATTTGTGTGTGTTGGTGTGCATGTGTATGGAGAGCAGAGGTTTATTTATTTTTATTTTATGCATATTGAGTGCTTGTATGTATGTGTACAGTGTGTGTGTCTGGTGCCCTAGAGACCAAAAGAGGGTTTCAGATCTCCTGAACTGGAGTTACAGATGGTTGTGAGTCATCATGTGGGTACTGGGAACTGAACTTGGGTTCTTTGCAAGAGCAGCAAGTACTCTAACTGCTAAGCATCTCTCCAGCTATCTACTACCACCTGTCTTCTGTCTTTTTGAGACAAGGTCTCCCTGTAGCCCCAGCTGGGCTGGAACTCACCAGGCTTACCCTGATCTTGCAGAGATCTGCCTGCCTCTGCCACCAGTGCTGGGATTAAAGGTGTGTGCCATGACACCCAGGAACAACCTTGGTTTTTCAAAAAAATAATTTTTTATTTTAATTTTATGTGTATGAGTGAAGTGTCTGCATGTACGTAAGTGCATCCATGTCATACAATGTCCTCAGAAGTCAGAAGAGGGTGTCAGATTCCCTGGAAGTGGGGTTACATGGAAGACTGTTGGCTGCCATGTGGGTGCTGGGAACTGAACCTGGGTCCTCTATAAGAGCAGCTAGTGCTTTTAAGCTCAGAGCTATCTCTCCAGCCCTGCACCTTGTTTTTTAAGACAGAATCTCTACCATAAATTGAAAAAAAATTTTATGTTTTTATTTTGTCCCAGTTTGTTTCTCCATTGCTGTGACAAAATACTCTGACCAATACCAACTTGGGGAGGAAAGGGTTTATTTATCTTACATCTCCTGGGTCACAGTTCATCAGGGAGCCCAAGGTAGGAACTCAGGGCAGGAACCTGGAGGCAGGAGCTGGAGTACAGGCCATGGAGGAACTCTGCTTACTGGCTTACTCCTCTGGCCCCTGCTCAGCCTGCTTTCTTATGTAACACAGGCCCAACTGCCCAGGGGTGGTGTCACCCACAGTGGGCTGGGCCCTCCCACTCTCAACAAGATAATGCCCATAGACATGGCCACAGGCCAGTCCAATGGAGGCAATTCCCCAATTGAGGCTTCCTGAACCCAGATATGTCAAGTTGACACTAAAGCTATACAGCACATATTTTTCTTCCTTCCTTCCTTCCTTCCTTCCTTCCTTCCTTCCTTCCTTCCTTCCTTCCTTCCTTCCTTCCTTTCTTTCCTTATTTATTTTAGTGTGTATATGCCATAGCTTGAATGTGAAGGTCAGAGGACAAGAGTCAGTTCTCACCTTCCACCATATGAACTCAAGTCAGGTGTGTTTGCACACTGAGCCACTTTGCTGTCCCCTCCACCCCTTTTCTGTTAAATTTATTTTATTTTTTAAATAAATTTTTATTGAATATTTGTGTATTTCATACATGAAATCATCTTTAGACCCCCTTTCCCCCTTCCCTTTTGACACCCTCTCATAGTCCCCCCTCAGTTATACATTCTGTCATTTGTATTAAGGCCTATTATGTAAAGTTAGTATCCCCAGATGTCCCTCAGTACAAGTTCGTCCACTGGGATTTAGTCAGTCTATGTAGAGTCTCTCTCTTCAAGAAGATCTGCTCTTTCTTACCCAGTAGTAATCAGCTGCCAGTAATTCTTCCACTAAGATTGGAGCTCGCTGTTCATTTCCGCAGTTCTGTGCTGGGTTTTTGTCTGCCTAAGTTTGCATGGGTCTTGTGAATGCTGACACCATTGCTGTAGGTTTGGTTTGTATGAGAAGGGTCCTAGGTGCCTGTAGGATTATTTATGTGTGATCATGCACCTCCTCCCTGGCTCTTACAATCTTTCTGCCCCCTCTTCCACCATGGCCCTGAGCCCTGGGTGGATGGACCTCAATAGAGGAGACCTGTCCAAGGACCCACACTCTACCGACTTTTATTCTCTGCGTTTTGGCCATTTGTGGCCTTTTGTGTTCCTGGCCCCCTGTTACATGAGGGAGCTTCTTTGATGAGAATTGAAAGATGGATTAGTGTTCTCTTTATCCCTTGTTGTATGTTCCATGAGTCTTAGGTGTAGAGGTTGCATCCTAGATGAGCCACTTAGGTTTGGGGAATTCACAGAGAATCTCTGTGTGTGACCAGTGGTGTGACTCTGTAATAATCTCTCTCTGTTGAAAAAGAAGCTACTTTGGTGGGTGGTGACTGGGCTACTTGTCTGTAAATTTAAGGATCCATATTTTGCACATAGTAAGAAATTACATTTGTCTAGAGATATGAGAGCCTTGGAGTTTTCTCTTAAGATCTATGATTTCTCCAGCTATGTATATTTGGCTAGGTTTACGGTACCAGACATGAGTTTCCTCCCACTGAGTGGGCTTTAAGTCCAATTAGGCAGCTGTTGATTACCCCCAAGATTAAAATGCTGCTACTGCACCAGTGTCGTTTGCTGTGCTGGTCATGGATGTGGTTTTCAGTCCTTGAAACTAGGGTTGGACCATAGATTGATGTTCTCTCTTATCATCTTCTTTTATGTGTCTGAGTGTTTTACCTGTGTGTATATAAGTGCACCATGTGTATGTAATGCCCCTGGAGGCCAGAAGAGGATTTCAGAGCCCCTGGAACTAGAATTACAGTCACCATGTGGGTGCTAGGAACCAAACCCCAAGTCCTCAGCAAGAGCAACCAGTGCTCTTAACTGCTGGGCCATCTCTCTAGCCCCTCTACCTTGTTTGTTGAGACAGTGTTTCTCACTGACCTAGAATTCTCCAATTAAGCTAGGCTAGCTGACCAGTGAGCCCCAGGGATGTACTTATCTTTATTTACCTCCTTGGTGCTGGAATTAAAAGCATGCACCACTATGCATGCCTGGCTTTTTTTTTTTTTTTTTTTTTTTTTTTTTTTTTTGGTCTTTTTGAGACAGGGTCTCCTTGTAGCCCCAGCTGGCCTTGAACTCACAGAGATCTGCCTGCCTCTGCCTCCTGGGTGCTGGGATTAAAGGCGTGCACCACACACCTGGCCCATGCTTGGCTTTTTAAAAAATATTTTATTATGTTATTTTATGTGTATGAGTATATTGCCTGCATGTGTGTAAGTTCACCCTCGTCATGCAATGCCCACAGAGTTCAGAAGAGGGTGTTGGATCCCCTGGAACTGGAGTTATGAATGTTTGTTAGCCACCATGTAGGTGCTGGGAATTGAAGGCTGGGTCCTCTGCAAGAGCAGCCAGTGCTCTTAACTGCTAAACCACCTCTCTCTAGTCCTTGCATGCCTGGTTTTTTTTTTTTTTTTTTTTTTTTTTTTTTTTTTTTTGGTGTTTTTGAGACAGGGTCTCCCTGTAGCCCCAGCAGGCCTGGAACTCACTATGTAGACCAGGCTGGCCTTGAACTCACAGAGATCCTCCTGCCTCTGCCTCCCAAGTGCTGGAATCAAAGGCATGTGCCACCATGCCCAGCATGTGTATGTGTGTGTATATGTATGTGTATGTGTGGGGGTGGTAAGCACATGAATGCAGGTGCCCTCAGGTGCCAGAACTGTCAGATCATCCAGGAGTTGGAGGTACAAGTAATTGAAAGCTACCTGATGGTTGGTGGAACTGAACTAAACTTGGGTTCTCTGAAAAAGAAGTATGTTCCTTAACCACTGAGTCATCTCTCTGGTCTTTGCCTGATTTTTTTTTTTTTAACATGTGTTCTGGGGACTGGACTCAGGTCCTTATATTTTCAAGGCAAGCACTTTACTAAGCCATCTCCCTAACCCAAAATAACTGTACTTTTACATTTTTGCATTTTTTTTGTTAATATTTGGCTTAATAAAAGGCATGTGGATTCTTGTATCTGCTTTGGCCTTCAGTCTGAGGAGATTCTGCCTTGTGCCTTCTGGACATTGCAAATAGAGGAGAGTAGGAAAGGCCTATATTGTCTTAGTCTTAAAGTGAAAATGGTTTTCATCTGATAGATCTTCTCAAGGTGATGTGGGAATCCTCGGGAGGCCAAGTCCTATCTGGGGCACCTCTGGTTGAGGTTGTCAACATTGTGATAAAGGACTATGTTGACCACCTAAAGTGGGAAGGGAAGGCTTCTCAGAAGAAGTGGTATTTGAGGTGGCCATGGTTAGATCCTGGTTGGCAAAGATAACAGGGAAGGACATTGCCCGGAAAGGAAAACCATGGTCAAAATGGGGCTAGAGAGATTAAGAGTACTAGCTGCTCTTGCAGAAGACTCAGGTTCTGTTTCCAGCACCACATGATGGCTAACAACTATTTGTAACTCCTGTTCCAGGGACCCAGTACCCTCTCTGGACTCTAAGGCACTGCACACATGGGTACACTTATACATGTGGGTAAAACACACACACATACAAAATAAAAATGAATGTGCAAAGGCCTAGAGCCTTTATTTGGGGCAGTATATCCTTTCCTTTGGGAAATAGGAGGCTGTTACCACCCTTACCAGGGCCCTTGACCACAGAACTCTATGTAGGCCCTGGGTCTAACTTGTCTTCAGAGCAGGCCTCAGGTATCTAGGTGGGTTGCCTAGCTATGCCAGGGGTGCCTTCGTTCCTCAATACCTGGGGTCTTGTGCATCTTAGGTGACTGGGGAAGGTAGGTGATGTGGAAGAGAGGAAGGCTAGTCTAGCCAGGGAGACAGAGAAAGAAAGGGAGGAGGAGGGAGCTTCAGGCCATTTTTCTCTGTCCCTGTGCTATGATGTGTTCATGATCTCAGCTCCCTGGTGCTGGAGTTGGCCATCTTAGATGAAGTCCAGGCACATGATCTTATGATCTACAGGGCCCCGAGTCTGGTGGGATTTCTCTTCTTTTTTTTTCTGGTCTATTTTAGACAGGGTCTCCCTGTAGCCCCAGCTGTCCTAGAACTCACTATGTAGACCAGGCTGGCCTTGAATTCACAGAGATCCTCCTGCCTCTGCCTCCCAAGTGCTGGGATTAAAGGCGTGCGCCACCACACCTGGCATGGGATTTCTCTTCTTCCCAGTGCCTTGTGGCATCTGATCTTTCCACCCCACACAATAAGACTTCCAGCCAGTTATGTATCAGGTATTTCAGGTATTTTCTGGGTATCTACTAAGTGCCAAGCCAGTATGGGACATCACTGAGACAACTGAGGTAAACAACCTTGGTACCAGGCCTTTGGAGAGAGGCAAGGGCATGCATGGAGACATGTTCTGCCCTGAAGCCTGGCCATGTTTCCTAGGAGATAGACTGGATTCACATCTGGGTGTGAGATGTCTCTGGGGGAGAGTTTACTTTTCCCGGCTGTTCTTTTTCTTCAGGGTGTACTGGACCTTGAGGACTGGCCTGGGCCATGCTTACTTGCCAGGTAGACTTGACTCTCACACACTGGCATTTTTGGCTTTCACCTTGACTAGGAAGAAAGGAGGGAGGTATGCTCTCCTGTGCCACATGCTATCACATACTTATGGGGGCGCAGGGATCTCGGGGCGCCAGCTGCTAGCGTGGCGCCGGTCTCCTGCACGCACCTGGGAAGCGGTGGGTCCCGCGGTGCGTCTGCTCCGTGTTGCTGGCAGGTCCCTGCTTCTCCGCGTCTTTGTGGGTCTCTGCTACCGGGGCTGGCCCGGTCGAGTTCTGCCCCAATTTCACCCGTGCACTCTCTCTCTAAGTTCAGGACCCGTCAGCTGCCGGGTCACGAGGAGAGGTGCGGGATGGCTAAAGCTGGATTTCCATGAGTCGTGGCTTACGAAGAGAAAGCTCTCTCCGGAGAGACTGAATCACACACAGAACTCAGCTCAGTCAGTGGTACAGCCCCTTTATTCAGTGACTTAGCTCGGCTCCAAGTCTCGGTGATCCAGCTCCGATTATTGAGGGAAAACCAGGATATTTTATACTATGGGGGTGGTAGTAAAAACCTTAGCTGATAGGTACTTTGTGGGATACCCTATTTACATGTAGAGGTGGGCTCCTGCCAGGCTGCCAGACTGTCTGAAAATCACACAGGAAAGGCTGGCAGTTTCCAGAGCCGGAGGCCATGGCTACTTCAAAAGATGAGTCAGGAAGATGCCGGGAAGGCACCCTGCTGATAAAAGGTATCTCTGCATATGAAGCCGAGCCCATAGGCTATCTGGACATGGAGAGACTGCTACTTTACACAACAGGGGTCCCCAACACATACTCTTACTTCCTCTTGCTCATATCTGTTCTTTTCTCTCCTCTCTCCTGTCCCCGGGCGGCTGTACCAACAGGTCCTGGATGACCCCAACGAGGACCATCTGTATATGGGTAAGATGCCTTTACCCTATCTAACTGAGGTAGCTGCATTTACCCGTGGCCAGGTATCCTCTTGGAATAGATGTAGCCCCAGAACATACCACTAAATACAGGTTCCCATTTCTTGGTCCAGCTGGCCCCCACAGGAGTCTACACCCCTGGTTTAAAACAAGGAAGGGAGGGGGCTGGAGAGATGGCTCAACAGTTAAGAGCACTGACTGCTCTTGCAGAGGACCCAGGTTCGATTCCCAGCATCCACAGGGCAGCTATAAACCTTCCTTAACTCCAGTTCCAGGGGAACCCGAAACTCTCTTCTGACCTCCATGGCATTGCACAACATGGGTGCACTCACATACTTGCAGGCAATACACTCATACACATAAAATAAAAATAACAAATAAATTTTAAAAAGTTTAAAAAAAAACAAGGGAGTTCTTTTTGGGACTTTAAAAATCTAAATCTCTTATTTATTCATTTGCAGCTCTTTATTGAGCACCTAATGTATATTCAGGACTGTTGTAGTTATTGAGGGTGGGGTGACAGGAAAGAGGAGGCCTCTACTGTTATGCAGTTGACATCCTAGATCAGAAGACAACATTGACAACTAAATAAACCTGAGAACTTCAGATATTTCGAGGGTGATTAAACACGGTTGAGAGAGAGTGGTAGATGGGTCACTTCAGATAGGAGATGACCATTTAGTCCCTGAATGTCAAGTACTCAGCTGTGTTGTAGCTGAGGAAGGGCATTCCAGGCAGAGAGAGCTGTAGGTGCAAAGGCCCTGAGGCTGCAAGAGCATCAATACAAAACATGCTTGGAGCTGGTTAAGTAGAGAGCGGGGTCAGGAGTAAGAATAGTGCGTTTGGGAATCTGGTGGGGCATTCAGAGCCTGGAGGGGTTTGAGGAGGTGGGCACTACACACAATAAGAAAAGACTCAGGTGTGTCCTCAGGGACCTTATTTTTTTTATTTTTTGGTCTTTTTGAGACAGGGTCTCCTGTACTCTCAGCTGACCTGGAACTCACTATGTAGACCAGGCTGGCCTTGAACTCACAGAGATCTGCCTGCCTCTGCCTCCCAAGTGCTGTGTGTGCCACACAGATGTTCAAGGTCATCCTTGGCTACATAGAGAGTTGGAGGCCAGCATGGGCTACATGAGACTCTATCTCAACAACAGCAACAAAATTAGAAACTGAATCAACTTAAAAGCATTAGGGGATGTGGCTTACCAGTAATGCACTTGCCTCAAATGTGCAAAATCTGGGTTCAATTCCTAGTACTAAAGAAAAACATTAAATAAATGCTAATTTACATGTTTTATAGATATAACCAAATTGAAGAATTGGTAAGTGAAATCTAAGGAAATACAACAGAAATCAGAAAATGTGAAAAACTATTTATGGGGGCTGGAGAGACAATGGCTCAGTGGCTAAGAGTACTCTTCCAGAGGAACTGAGTTTGGTTCCCAGCACTCACATTTGACGGCTCACAACCACCTTTACCTTCAACTCCAGGAGATCTGACAACCTCTTCTGGCTTCTTCAGGCACCTGCATGCATGTGCACATCACATAGAATATAAGATAACTCTTAAAAAGAAAACAAGGGATTGGAGAGATGGCTCAGTGGTTACGAATATTGGTTGTTCTTGCAGAAGACCTGGGTTCAAATCCCAGCACCCACATGGCAGCTAACAACTGTCCGTAACTCCAGTCCCAGGGGTTCCGACAGCCTCATCTGACCTCCTTGGGCATTGCACAACACGGGTGCCCTTACCTACATGCAGGCAATACACACATACACATAAAAATGATAAATAAAATTTAAGAAAAGAAAAGCGTTAGGGGCTGGAGAGATGGGTCAGTGGTTAAGTGCACTGGCTGCTCTTGCAGAGGACCTGGGTTTGGTTCCCAGCACCTACATGGAGGCTAACAACTGACTATAACTCCAATTCTAGGGGACCTGACACCTTCTTCCTGCCTTTGTGGGCACTGCATACACAGGTGCACTCACGTACATGTGGGCAAAACACACAAATAAATTAAAAATAAATAAGTGAAGATTGAAAACAAAAAGCAAGGCTGGGCGTGGTGGCACACACCATTAATTCCAGTACTCCTGAGGCAGAGGCACGTGAATCTCTGAGTTCAAGGCTAGCCTGGTCTACATAGTTCCAGGACAGGTGGTGCTACAGGGAGACCCTGTCTCAAAAAGACCAAAAAAAAAAAAGTCATTTGGGCTTAGAATGGTACTCTCAGCATAATTTTCTCAGGCCTGATCTCAAAAGGCTATGAAAAGTATCTGAGGAGGTTGTTTGTTCACTTAACAAATATTACAGGGCTGGAGAGATGGCTCAGCATTTGAGTGCTTGCTGCTCCTAGGGGACCACAGTCTGGATTCTAGCACCTGTGTAGTGCAGCTCACAGCTGTCCAGCTGCAGGGGCTTTGGATCCTCTCTGGCCTCCATAAGCACAGCCATACACATACACTTAAATAAAAAGAAAAATAAACTTTAATAAAAAACAAAAGAACAGGTTGGGTGCAGTGGTGCACACTTTTGATCCCAACACTCAGGAGACAGATCTCTATGAGTGTGAGACCAGCCTGGTCTACATAGTATAGGACCCTGTTTCAAAACAAAAAAAAAGCAACAACAAAAACAAAACAAATGCTACAATTTTAAGGCCTCCCTTCTGGGTTCCTGTTAGGATAAAAATCCAAGGACTCTACCAATATTGCACAAAAAATGCAAAGTGAAAATAACTTCAAAAGGCAGCTTTTATTTTTGCAAAAGGGTGCGTACGTTGCCTCATTTGGTAGCAGGCAAGCACACTAAGCAGGAAATTTGATAGGTGTTTATCTTAACTCAAGAGTACTGTGTCTTTTCCCCATTTGGAGTCAGGCCTCACGGTCTTTTGAGGTTGGCTAGTTTTAGACGAATCTACACAAAGGAAATAAAGGAAATAGGGAAGGGACCTATTTCTGAGCCACTGTTGGTAGAAGGCTGCAGGGTCTTTGGGTAAAAAAGTTTTACAAAGGTGGGAAATTACAAATAAACTGCAAAGGTTACATTCCTGTGATTCTTTTAATACAAAAGATTTGAATTCCCTGTAATTTCCCTCAGTTCCTCAGGAAACAAGCTTTAAAACTTCCCATCCTCAGAACAGTAACCCAAGTATAATACAAAGTCTTTGAAGGTAACAACACTACACAAAAATAAAATAAAAATAATAGACCTTTATCGTGGTGAGAGGAGCTGGGAGTTCTTGGTTGAGGAAATGGAGCCGAAAATCTCCACATGGTTATTTTTTCACTTTCCAGACAAGGACAGACAGACCAGGTAGTGAGAATCAGAAACAGCCTTTACAGCAGACCAGACCCTCAAAGGAAAGAAAATATGATCTATATTTCTAGAAATTAAAAGAAAAATGGGACAAAGCTATAGTTCAGTGGGAGAACATGTGTATAGTATATGTGGGGCCTAAGTTCAGCCCCCAATACTACAGAGAACAAAACAAGAATTCCTATCCAGCACTCAGCCTCCAAAGTAGACAAACTGTTGGTGACTGAAAATAGACTTGTTTCAACAGGCCAGCTTCCCCCGATGGCAGGTGATTTATGGTGCTTGGATGGGAGGAAGGAGGGTACAGAAATTCATGAAGTTGCAAATTAAAACATAAATAATTAAGGCAAGAATGGTCTGAGCTTGTAAACAGTCTTAGGCAAGAGCAATCTGCCTGAAGACCTGGGTGTGACTAGAGGACTCTATTAGTCTGGGTTCTCTAAGGAACAGAAGCTATAGGATGAATACACACACACACACACACACACATATAAAATAGTAATTTATATAAAAAGGATTTATCAGATTGCCTGCCTTCCTTCAATTCTTCCCCTCCCCCTTTTCTTTCTTTGTCTATTTGAAACAGGGTCTTCCTGCAGCCCTAGCCAGCCTGGAACTCACTATGTAGACCAGGCTGGCCTTGAACTCAGAGATCCACCTGCCTCTGCCTCCCTGAGTGCTGGGATTAAAAACCGGATTAAAAGTGTGTACCACTACATCTGGCCTAGGTTTTTTTTTTTGAATCAGGATCTTACTGTGCCACCCTTTCTGGCCTAGAACTGGCTGTGTATACCTGGTTGACCTGGAACTCACAGAGATCTGCCTGTCTGTGTCTCTTGAGTGCTAGGATCAAAGGTGTGGTGGAGGAGTGTATGACCACACCCAGCTTAAATCTGCTTTGCATAATATCAGAGTAGTCCAACAATGGCTGTCTTACACTAGAGAGGCTGAGAACCTAATAGTTGCTCAATCCATGAAGCTGGTGGCTCAATTTGATGCCCAAGGCCTGAAGGATTTCTGGACAGCTGCTGGTCTTTATTCCAAGTTGGATTAGATATAAGTTGGTTCTGATATAAGGTAAGGGATCAGCAGCAGGAGCAACAACAGGATAGATGAACTCACCAGCAAGAGTGAAGGCTAAACAAGAATTTCCTTTGTTCTTTTATGTGGGTGACTACCACAAGGTGCCAGGTTGTGTCTTTCCACATCAATTAAGGCATTCAAATAGTTGCCCATAGGCATGCCTGCAGGCCAACCTGATGTAGACAATCCCTCATTGAGACCCTCCCCAAATGATTCTAGGTTGTGTCAAATTGACAATTAAAGATAACCATCACAAGGATATGGTTTAGCATCCATCCTATCTCTGGCACCTCCCAGGTTCAAGTGGTAGAATAAGAGGGAGCCTAGGAGCCAGTGCCACCTATTTCCTTTCTCCCCTGTCTTGTTTTCCTTTGTGCATCCTTGGGGGTGGGGGCTGTGTGTTTTACTGGGGATCAAATCCAGGGCCTCATGTATGCTAGGTAAGTACTGCATCACTGAGTTATATCCCCAGCCCTCTTTCTACTTTTTATTTTGAGGCAGGGTCTTACTAAGTTGGCTATGCTGGACTTGAATTTACTCTGTAGCCCAGGCTGCCCCCAAACTTGTAATCCTACCACCTTAGCCACCTCAGTAACTGGAATTACAGGCCTGAATCACCAAGCCCAACTTTCCTTGTTCATTTTGAGTACTAAAAATAAAGTCAGGTTAGGGTCCAGGGACATCATGGACCACTGATCCTTCGCCTCCTGAATGTACTTAGTAAAGCAGAGTATTGAGCAGCTTTGTCTGTGGACTCTTACGTATCTCAACCCTCCTAGGATACATTTCTGTGCTTCTCAGTGTCTCTAGAGGTGGCTGGAGGTGGGGTAGATGAGGATGAAGACGGATTTCCAGTGTCTCAATGTGACAGTTTACTTCCTTATCTTTCCCACAGTGTTTGAGCTGGTCAACCAAGGGTGAGTGTTCGTCTCTTAGGCATGATGCCAGAAGGTTTCTCTACCTGCAAAGCTGAGTGAAGGGAGCTGGATTCTGTGGGGGAGAGTGGGAAAGGGCTAGCTGGGTCTGGTTTCCATTGTTCACATGCTTGTCAACCCCTTTCAGGCCTGTGATGGAAGTGCCCACCCTCAAACCACTCTCTGAAGACCAGGCCCGATTCTACTTCCAGGATCTGATCAAAGGCATTGAATACCGTAAGCCATACCTATGGGAGAACTCGCCCCTGGGATAGTTAGCATCCAACCAGTGGGTAGAAAATAGAAAGTATCTCATTTCTCTGCTGGAGCAAAGGAGGGTGGGGAAACAGGACTTGGAGCTCTTGGGCTCTCTTACAGCTTCAGGGCACTGGCCTGGGGCTGTGCTCTTGGTGGCAGAAGCCCTTTTTCCTGCCACAGAGAAAAATTAAGAGCAACAGTAATAGTGAACTTTAGTGTATATGTGTGTGCATATGTGTGCACATGCATGTGGAGGCCAAAGAACAGCCTGCAGTGTTTTCCCTCAGGAACCATCCACATTTTTTAATTATTGATTTTTATGGTAAGAATAACCCTTTTTAAAAAAAATTAATATATTGAGATAAACTACACAGCCTAAAAAGACAAAAATTTATGGCATCTTGTAAGGCAGGGTCTCTAATTGGCCTGGAACTCACCAAATAAATAGGCCAGTGAGGCCCAGGGATCCATGTGTCTCTGATTTCCCACCCCTGGGATTTTAAGTGCACACCGCCATGCTAAACTTTTTTTACATTGGTGCTGGGGATTGAACTCAGGTCCTTATGCTTGCAAGGCAAACACTTTAGTGACTGACCCATCTCCCTAGTCCAATAGTGAGCTTTAATCCAGCACTTTCTATGCAGACTGGGCACAGTAGCAGCTCTACTTGCATAATTCCCTATCCTAGCCTTGGCACTCCTTGGTTTGTTCATCTGTAATAAAGATAAAGTGTCTCACAAGGGCTGAGCTCAGCCAGTGGCCAACAGTGGTTCTGATGGGCAGGGGTCCTTTCTGTTCCTGTTGACCATTTTGACTCTTGCCCCTGCCCATGGGAATTATCATAACATTTAATTGGGATAAATGTGAAGTACATACACAGGGTGAAGCCCTGTCCTGATGCTGTTATTACTGTAGTACCAACTGCTTCATCAGCCCCAACACCTGGGGCTTCTAGACCATAACATTGTCTGTTGCTCTACACAGACATTGGCAGGAACAAGCCAAGTCCCCCATTCTGCTTTGTGGTTCGGATTTGAGCTTGCTGTAGCTGTGGTTGAGTAGGTAACCAAGATGAGTGTTGACCATTAGTAAAGGAAACTGTCACAAGTGTCAGTTTGCCTAGCTGGAAGCCAAACTCAGCAGAAGCTATAGGCTGTAACATGTGGTTACAAATTGCTATAGGTGGCTGGTGCTTTTAGAACTTGAGGTAAATATTCTTGAACACACTCTTCTCCTTTATCTTTCAGAGCATATGTGGGGAGGGCCAGGGGCTTGGGAGATGAGGCATCAGGGGCTCGCTGGGCCTTATGGTTACATGGAGATTCTCATGGGGTTTTCCTGCCCCTTGTCTTCCATTGGTGTCCCCCATACCCAGTACACTACCAGAAGATCATCCACCGGGACATCAAACCTTCCAACCTGCTGGTGGGAGAAGACGGGCACATCAAGATTGCCGACTTTGGTGTGAGCAATGAGTTCAAGGGCAGTGATGCCTTGCTGTCTAACACTGTGGGCACACCTGCTTTCATGGCACCCGAGTCGCTCTCAGAGACCCGAAAGATTTTCTCTGGGAAGGTAGGTTCAGATCTACTGAGCTGCTAAGTTCTGCCTGTATAAGATTCCTTTGATTGTAAGTAGCAAAAGGCCAAGTGTAAGCAGATTTACACAACAAACTCAACAGGTCATGTAGCTTGTCCCTGTTTGTTTTCTGTTGTTAACACCATGACCAAAAGCAACTTGGAAAGGAAAGAATTTATTTCAGCCCACAGGTTATAGTCCATCGTTGAGAAGCCAAGGCAAAAGCTTAAAGCAGAGACCACTGGCTTGCTCCAAGGCTCACATTCAGCCTCCTTTTTTATTCAGCCAAGACACACCAGCCTAGGGGTGGTACTGTCTATAGTGGGTGGGGCCCACCTGCATCAATTAGCAATAAAAAAAATGGCCTGCCAGGCATGGTGCCACACGCCTTTAATCCTAGGCAGATCTCTGTGAGTTCAAGGCCAAAATGGCCTACAGGGTGAGTTTCAGGCCAGCCAGGGCTACATAGTGAGAGCCTCTCTCAAAAAAATAGAAAAGAAAATGTCCACAAGACAATCTGAGCCACTCCTCCAGTTGAGACTCCTTCAGATAACTCTGGCCTAAGTCAGGTTGACAGCTGAAACTGGGTGTGTTGGCAAAAAGCCTTTAATCCCAGCAGTTGGGAGGCAGAGGCAGGCAGATCTCTGTCAGATTAAGGCCAGCCTGGTCTTCATAGTTCCAGAGCATCTGGGGCTACAGGGAGACCCTGTCTCAAAAAACCAAGAGACAACAAAACAAAAAACAAAAACAAAACAAGGTGACGACTGAAGCAAAGTAGGAGATAACTAATGAGTGGGTATAGCCTGATATAGGGACTCAAACATGAATCTCTATCTCCCATCTCTCAGCTCCATTCTCCTGAGCTGATTTCCCCCGCAGGTAGATCAGGCACCAGCGGTTAGGCTTCTTCAAGTGTCCAGTCTCAGAAGCCAGAACATTCCTCTCTGAATAACAACAAAACTAAACTAAACTAAACTAAACTAAACTAAACTAAACAAACAAACAAAAACCCTTGTACTGAACTGACCTCTGATTGGCCCAGGGTGGGTCATGTGCCCATCACTTGGACCAGTCACTGTGGCTGGGGGAAGTTGTGCTTTCATTGGCCAGGCAGGCCTGTCATGTCTCCACCAAGGGGACTAGGAGACATGGTCAGTCTTACCCCAACAGTGTGGATTAAGAAGAGGTGGTTCTCTAAGGAGGTTGAAGGCTAGTTGGTAGACAGGCAAAAGCAGTAGATGCCCTTTCCTGCCTCTGGCCTATCACACTAAGCTTTGTTTTTCTTGCAGGCCTTGGATGTTTGGGCCATGGGTGTGACACTCTACTGCTTTGTCTTTGGCCAGGTAAGAGGGTGGGCATTCCTATCTTCTGAGTGCTCTGGGTGACTGACCACCTGAATTAATGGTACCCTTGCAGGGAGACAGTACTGATTTGTTTGAAAGTTACATTTCTACAACTAGACGTGAATACAAAAAAAAAATCTTAATACATGTATCTCTGTGATATTCTCATATGAGCAAAAATGGTTTAATAAGACAGAAGGATTGACAGACTCTGGAGATTGTAGATAGCTGATTAGTTTAGGGCAGGGACAACAAATATACCACTGCTCTTCATACCTAAGCTTAAGACAGACATCAGTAATCAATCACTGTACTCTTTCCTCTGCCTAGTACTGCTTTGACACTCATCAAGAGTGTTCCTAGACACCCTTGCCAGGGATAGAATTGGAATGGGAATCACACTCCCTGATTCAGGGAGTGGTGTTTTCTCTTTCTGTTGTTATGGCTCTTCTATTGTCTCAATGTTACTGATGTTTAAGAGGCTTCTGTCTATAACTGAAGTTCAGTTTGATTCTTTGAGCAATAAAAATATGAGTTCTTCCCTTTATGAGCTTGTACTCCTGTGGAAGAATGCTTAAGAGTTTGTTCCATGCAGAAACAAGAGTCTTAACTATTCCTCCAACATTTATTTAGAAAAAATTTTTCAGTTCTATGTAAAGTTGAAAGAATTGTACAGTGAAAACCCACAACCCTGCCCCTGGATTCCGCCATTTTATGTATATAAAATCATAATTATACTCTAATATACTAGATAACTAACTATCCAATCAAACCCAGAACCTTGTACATGATGACCTGATGACCACTGAGCTATAGCCCCAGCCCAATTCTTATGTCTTAGAGCCTCTGAGAGGGTGGACAGAACTATTTTGAGTGTTCATTAGTTCTGCAGATCTTTACTGAGCCCCTCCTTTGTCCAAGGACATTCTAGAGAGAGTGAGAGACAGACAGGAAGCCCTGAGCTCTTAGAGGTGATGGGAGTTAGCTCCCAATGGAGTAGTTAAGCAGTCAGCAAATGATTGTAATGTCAGGAATAGGTACAGAGCTGGGGAATGGCAAGAATGAAGTGGATCTACTCTGAAGGGAACCTTAGAGGAAGTTTCTCAGAGGTAGCTTTGGCCAGACATGACCAGAGAGAACTAGACATCAAGGAGATCATTCTAGGTAATGGGTACTGTGGATTGGGTATCACAGAAAGCCTCGTATGGAACCTGAGCCAGGCCAAGCACCTGTAATTGCTGCTGTTGTCCCATGGGTAGTATACTCAGTGGTCCCCGGGTAGGTGTGTACAGACAGTATTTGCTTTTGTATAAGCAAGAGACTGAAGAGGCACGTGGGGGCTGTGGTGTGGTTAATAAGGACTCTAGTCCTTCAAGATATTCCTGGGCCTTCTAGAACCTGGGAGTGGGCGATTGAGAGATGGTACCTGCTTCCTCCCCAGCCTGGGCCACAGCTGTTGGTCTCTCTGCTGTAGTCCATGAGGAATAGCACAGCACAGGTGGCCTCTGAAGGATACAGGTGGCAGCCAGTGACCACCACCCTCCTTGGCCTTTTTCCACAGTGCCCTTTCATGGATGAGAGAATCATGTGTTTGCACAGTAAGATCAAGAGTCAGGCCCTGGAGTTTCCAGACCAGTGAGTATTGTGTGTCTGTTGGTCCTCACCTCCTTCTGATTCCTGAATTTTCTGTGACCCACCCTTGGTATGTCTCCACCCCCCAGGCCTGATATAGCTGAAGACTTGAAAGATCTGATTACCCGGATGTTGGACAAGAACCCAGAGTCAAGGATTGTGGTGCCAGAAATCAAGGTACTTGACCATTGCTGGCTGAAGAGGCCAACACTTGAGGCCTGTGTCCTGTGCTTGGAATTGTTTGGCTCAGCCTTGTGCACAGCACCATGTCCTCCTGGCATCACTCCTTCCTATGTCCTAGGGCCTCTGGGCTGCTGGTGATGGGGGTAGGGAGGAGTGTTGATGGTTGTGCCCACTGTGATTGAGGGGAGTAGGACCTGACCAATCAGCTAGGCCGCCTGTGCTTGTTCCCATTGGCTTGTTCTGGTGGTATTCGTCCTTCAGAATGGTCTGAGGCCTTTGTGTACTGGCTGCTGAACCTCAAGTCCTTTCCTTGGTCCTGTTAAAGATGTGGGACCAGTCCCTTTGAGGAATTGCAGCGAGAATGGGAGGAAGTGAGTGAGCAATTCAACCTCTCTGCTGCACAGACCCTGGAGAGACCCTGCCCATCCCCCACCCTATCCTTTGCCAATGCCCCATGTATACATCTGGCCCTTCAAACAAACAAACAAACAACAATCTCACCAGATGTGGTGGCATGTGCCTTTAGTCTCAGCACTCAGGAGGCAGAGACAAACCAAACTCGGTGTGAATTCAAGGGTATCCTGGTCTACGTAGTGAGTTCCAGGCCAGCCAGAGGCTATGTAGTGCGACCCTATCTCAAAAAAAAAAAAAAAAAAAAATCTAGATTGAGCTGGGTATGTAACTTAGTTGGTAGAGTGCGTACCTAGCATTCATGAAGCCCTGGGTTTCAGCTCCAGCACTGCATAAACTGGATGTGGTGGTGCATGCCTATAATTACAGCACTTGAGATGTGGCGGGAGGATCAGAAATTTAAGCTCATCCTTGGCTATATAGTGAGTTCAAGGCCAGTATGAAATACCTAAGACCCTGTGTTTAAAAATAATAATTAAGAAAGAGAAATCTCAAGATGTACTCCAGGGCTAGGCACCTGCCTAATAAGAACTGGAGGGCACCTCGAGAGGGGCACAAATAAGTCACAAATAAGGACTTGAACCCCAGGGAGGGGGCCTGAGTCCTTTCTTGAGTGTGCCCTTCCTCCTGGTCCCACTGTGACTTCCTGAATCAGTTACCCCTTTTGTGGAATGGGAGAATGTGCTTCCCCCTTGAGTGACTTTGTTGTCAGGGAGAATTACTTGGGACCAGTAGGTATGCATTGGGCAGACTGATGCTGAATTGTAGTTGATCCTGCTGTGACCTGGGGTCAGATGGAGAACCGCCTCTGCACACATCTCAGTTCTGTGGTGCCTCCCATTCTCTGTCTCGGTTTTTCTTCATTTCCTTGCATCTCACTCACCTGCCTCTCTGCCTGGCTCTCTAGCTCTCCTGCATGCTGAGCCCTAGGCCACTGCCTCTCCTTCCTGCATGCCCTCCTTGGCTCAGCTCACTGGCAGGACCTTGTGGATGCCAGCTGCACCCACCCCTCACCCCTCCTGTCATTCGTTGAAGCTGCACCCTTGGGTCACGAGGCACGGGGCTGAGCCATTGCCATCGGAGGACGAGAACTGCACGCTCGTCGAGGTGACTGAAGAGGAGGTCGAGAATTCTGTCAAACACATTCCCAGTCTGGCGACCGTGGTAAGGCGGGAAGGTCCACTGACTGAGAGGAGGTCTGAGAGAGCCTGAGGTAGGGTCATAGGGGCCAGGGCCAGACACAGGCAGATGCCTAGGAAGCAAGCAGGTGTGGATCCTGCCCTTAACTCACAGTCCCAGGTAGTCCTCCCACATTTCCATAAAAGGGCAGCCTTCTACAAGCATCATACTGCTCCTTCTGGAATTCCTGCTTTTAGAGCAAGGGGAGAGGAGCCAGGAGATGATGATGACCAGGCTAGAGTTAGCAATGGGCACACAAGATAGGGTTCCCAGCAGTTAGGCCTTCAGTCTCCAGAGTAACTAACCTAGCATGTCTCACATTTGCCATGTAGATGGTTCTCAGGGCCAGGGACTGCCACCTCCCACCCTAAAAGTTCTTTCTAACTCTTGAGATATGGGGTTTTGTTTGGGAACCAGTAGGTTCCCTTTTTGGCCTTGAATTTCGATCCTGGCCCTGAATGACTGAAGCAGAATGTTGAGTTTTCAAGCCTAAACTAGGAGATAATACCCCATTACCAGCCCTCTGCCTGGAAGTGTCTGGCTATAAGAGATGGGAGCTCCAGGAGTCTGGCTCTGTGCAACCATAACCTCCTCACAAGCCCAGGTTATGCTTGGCCAACCCCAGCAGGCTCTGGGAGGTACCCAAGAGACTGCAAAGTCTAGCACCTGGCCTCGATGATCCCTTTGGAAGACTGAGAGCTGGCTCCTGCTCTTCTAGCTTGCCTACTCTCTTCTGCTTGCCCCACACTGTCTCACCTCTTTCAGAGCTTGAGCCCCAGGACTGGGCATTCATCCATGTCTTCCTCCCCAACCTGGGGCTTTGCATAACCTCCACTCTTTCAGACTCACCCACACCCACTCACCCTGTTCTATGCCCATGGTTGGGGAGGAAGCTGGGGTCTGACTCTCCACCCAACATGGGTGCATCTGTTTCAAGCTCTGATCCTGACCCAGTCTCTGTTCTGTTGCACATTGTTGAGGGAAAGCTTCTGGCCCGGGAGATCTGGAGTAAACATTCATCACTTGTAAGTGGTTTCTCAGGCAGGCAGGCAGGCAGAATGGCAGCAATGAGCAAAATCCACATGTTCCATGCTGTCCTGGTGAGGCAGATGCTGGTCACCCCAACAAATCTGTGCATGGTACAATAGAGAGGCTGCAGGGCAGGCCCCCTGATGGAGGGACACTTGGCCCTGCAATGGGTCAAAAGTGGCTTCCCTTAAGAAGTAGTCAACAGCAGAATGTTAAGCATCTGAGAAGGGGTAGAGGGCCAGACAGCCAAGTAAGAAGGAACAGTATAGGCAGTGTCCAGCAAGAAGCTCCCAGAAAGCCTGCATTGCTAAAGCAGGGCAAGGAAAGTGGAGGTTTAAATCTCCACTTCAAGAGCTTGGGAAGAGCCTGTAGGGGTTGGATCAGCCAGAGCAGGGAGGGGCTGGGAAATGGTCCATGATGAAAAATTGGAGGGCCAGCCCTCACCATGTGCCTGTCATTCAGCAAATACTAAGCTCCCATCACATGCTGGGCTCAAACTGATAAAGACTAGTCAGTGCCAGCTCTCAGAGCACTCTGGTATTGTGAGAAAAAGCAACCTTTCCTTGGGATCAGAGGCCAGTGAGAGGGAGGCTGACAGACAGAGGGGGCAGTTTTCTCAGGGGAGCAACACTCACTAAATAAACCTCAGAGAGGAGGGGCTAGTGCATTCTAGGACACACTGGAACCTTGCCATGCTGGAGATCTTTCTACAACAATCAGAGCCTCCCTCATGTGAAGTGGTACCTGATTAAAGGAAGACTAATTCCTCAAGTCATTTAAACCAATAATGAGCCCAGTCTGTTCTCAGAACTATTCTGCTCTGATTTCTCTTGGAACTTCCTCTGAGCAAAAGACTTTCTCTGTATTTAAACAGCACATCTAGCATGATATGGGAAAGGAATGAGGAATGTTTTAAGAATCTTTAACCTGGGGCTGGGAAGATGGCTTACCAGTTAAGAGCATTGTCTGCTCTTACAGAGGAACCAGGTTCAAATCTCACCCACATGGTGGCTAACAGCCATCTATAACTCCAGTTCTAGGGGATCTGACACCCTCTTCTGGCCTCTATGGGCATTGCATGACATGGGTGCACTTACATACATGTAGGCATAACACTCATACACATAAATAAATAAAATTAGATAAAGAGAATCTTTAACCTGCCAGGAGTGGTGGTGTATGCCTTTAATCCCAGCACTTGGGAGGCAGGGGCAGGTGGGTTTCTGTGAGATCGGGGCCAGCGTGATCTACGTAGTGACTTCCAGGACAGCTGGAGCTACAGGGAGACCCTTCTTTTTTTTTTTTCTAAAAAAAAAAAAAGATGGGGCTGGAGAGATGGCTCAGTAGGTAAGAGCACTGACTGCTCTTGCAGAGGACCCAGGTTCGATTCCAAGCACCCACATGGTGGCTATGAACTGTCCTTAACTCCAGTTCCAGGGGAATCCGAAGCCCTCTTCTGACCTCCGAGGCATTGCACTACATGGGTGCACTTACTTACATGCACGCAAGCAGGCAATACACATACACATAAAAAATAATAATAAAATATTTAAAAAAAAACTTAAAAAAGAATCCTTAGCCTGAATTTTATAAGAGAGTAAGTGTGCTTTTTCTGACCCCTACTGACACAGAGCAGAGCAGTGTACAAAACCACATATACTTGCAGCATATATTGTGGTCTTCTCCACCTCCCCCCCCCCATCCCCACATCTCAATTCTGGGTCAGGCATGGAAAGTTTATAGTGAACACAGTTTAAGATTAAAGCTGTGTGTTTAGCTTAGCTTGTAAAAGTTGATTATAAGAGAAACCCAAGGCCTCTGAAGATTCTCTACATTGTTTTCTTAAAGGCTAGTTAAATTTTAAACAAGCTAATTACACAGTAGGAAGGCATATTAAATTCATAGTGTTAAATGATCTCAAAGCATATGATTAACTTATTTACAAGGTAAAAAGCTTCATTTATAACAAGGCATTTCAGAAGTCATTGGTACGGACACAGCTTTCATTCTGAAATGGCTTTCCTTTTCTTATTGAGGTGGAACTCATACTTAACCATTTCAGAGGGAACCACTCATTGGCATTTGGGCATTCGAAATGTACATTCATCTCTTCCCTGCCTCTTAGCCATTTTCATCACATCAAAAACAAACAAAAATAAATACCTTAGCAGGTATCAAAGTCTTTAATCCCAGAACTCAGGAGGCAGAGGCAGGCAGATCTCTGTGAGTTCAAGGCCAACCTGGGAGAGATAGCAAGTTCTAGGCCAGCCAAGGCTTCATAGTGAGAGCTTGTCTCAAAAGAAAAAAACAACCCAATTCTGTATTCCTCCTCCCCCTCCTCCCAGGTGACCACTAATCTTCTGTCTCTGGATTCCCTGTGCTGGACATTTGGTATCAATGGAATCATGAATCATGTGGTCTTTTATGTCTGGCTTCTTTTACCAGCATCATGTTTTCAAGGTTCACATGTGTTGTAGCAGGTGTCAGTTTTTCATTCCTTTTATGGGTAAATGATATTCCACTATTAGATAGGCTATAATTTTTTCATTCTTTAATTGAACATTTGAGTGTCTATATCTTTTAATAAATCAGTGCTTTTTTTTAATTAAAAAATTTGGGAGCTGGGCGTGGTGGTGCACACCTTTAATCCCAGGACTTGGGAGGCAGAGGCAGGTGGTCTATATAGTGAGTTCCAGAACAGCTGCTGGGGCTACAGAGAGACCCTGTCTCAAAAAGACAAAAAAAATTATTTAAAAAATTTATTCTGGGGCTGGAGAGATGGCTCAATGGTTAAGAGCAGTGGCTGCTCTTGCAGAGGACTTGGGTTTGGTTCCCAGCACCCACATTGTGGCTAGAAACAGTGCATAATTAGTTCTAGGGAATCTGACACCCTCTTCTGTCCTTCGAGACCATTGCATGTACATGGTTTACTTACATACATGCAGGCAAAACACAAACACACAAAATAAAAGTAAATTAAAAATTTTTTTATTCTATTTTACTTATGTATGAGTGTGAGTGTGTGTGAGTGTGCGTGTGTATACATTCACACACAGAGCTAGCAGAGGGTGTCAGATCCCTCTGAGCTGGAGTTAGAAGTATACATGGGATGCCACACTAGCCTGATAACCTGCATTCAGATTCCCAGAACCCATGTAAAAAGCTGGACTCAGTAGTACCTGTAATCCCAGCACATCTTACTAGGATATGTGAGACAGAGGCAGGAGAATCCTTTGGAAGCTCACTTGCCAGCTGGCCTTGCATATGCAGCAGTGAACAAGAGAGACCTTGTCTCAAGGTGGAAGGTGAGGACTAACACCAGGGTTTGTCCTCTGACCTTCACACGTGCCATGACACTTGCACACCCATACGCACATGCCCACAAAAAAAAGAAAATCTGATAGTTAAAGGATTATTATTTTGTTGTTGAGACTGTCTTCCTGTAGCTCCAGCTGGCCTTATACTCACAGATCCGCTTGCTTCTGCCTCTCAAGTGCTGGGATTAAAGGCGTGTACAACCACGTCTGGCTAGTTAAAGAGTTTTTAAAATTAAAAACAGACACAAAAAGGCCACTAAGAGTATGGTTCTGTTTATAGGAAATGTCTAGAATAAGTGAATCTAAACAAAGAATTGTGGTTACCAATGGCTATGGGAAAGGAGTTATGGGGAGTGACAGCTAATAGGTATGGGGTGTCTTTTTAGGATAATGTAAGCCTGAAGTTGGCTGTGGTGCTGTGAATATACTAAAAACCACTGAATTATATATAGTTGGCCTCCCCATCTGCAAACTCAAAATCACAGATCAAAAATCGGTGAGGGAGTGGAGAGATGGCTCAGCTGTTAGGAGTATTTGATGCTCTTGCAAAAAACTTGGATTTGGTTCCCAGCACCCACATGGTGGATCATAACCATCTGTAACTCCAGCTCTGGGGCATCTAATGACCTCTTCTGGACTTCTAAGGCACCAGGCAAGCATGTGGTGCATAAATATATATACAGGCATAAAGTAAAAACAAATCTTTAAAAAAATTGGTTAAAACAAAAGAAAACTGCATCTTTACCGAACATGTCAGCCTTCTTTTTGTCTAATTCAGTTCAATAACTATTTACAGAAATTTATATATCCTGTTAGGAATTAAGGTTGTCCAGGGATGGTTTAAAGCACCCTAGAGAATATGTAAAGGTGATATGCAAATACTGAACTATTTTATATACGAGACTTGAACATCCAGAGGTTTGGTAAACTTTGGGTATTCTGGATCCTCTCTGAATATCAACTGGTAGCTATACCTTAAAATGGTAAATTTATCATTTATGAATACTGTCTCAATTTTGAAAGCAGCCTCATTCTCAAAATTATATCAGTGATATAAAGAGCTTGTTTCTTGTTGGGGGTGGGGGTCTCAGGTGGTTTTCAGGATCCTCAGGAGGGTTCACCTAGCAATGGCGCAGGTGACACACACCCAGCTCTCCTAGAGCATGGGGTTATGGGACCAGGTAGGTTGGGACTGGATAAGACAAACCCTGCATGTCAGAACCAGGAGTTTGGACCTTAGGGTAGTCAGGGAACTGGCTGCAGGGAGCTAGCTGCCTGCCGGACTGGGGATGGGTCTGGCTGGCATCTCCTGGGTAGGACGGCTGCTGTCTCATTTCCCACAAAGACCTTTTTGAGTTGTGAGCACTGGGAACTGGCAAGGGGAACAGGAAGAAGGGAGAAGAGCGTGTCTGCGATCTCCCTTTGTGACCCAGCAATCACTACCCCCTCATCTCTCTTCAGATCCTGGTGAAGACCATGATTCGGAAACGCTCTTTCGGGAACCCTTTTGAGGGTAGCCGGCGGGAGGAGCGCTCTTTGTCAGCACCTGGGAACCTGCTCACGTGAGTAACTCCACCTTCCTTCCAGTGGGGAGAAGGGGGACTAGAAGCTAGGCCTGGGTCATCCCAGGAGAGACACATTGGGGACATCATCAGGCCCTGGCTTTGCTTTCCTGACCTCAACTCAGCTAGCATCCATCTGATGGTAGTGCGTCCACCCTGAAGTTTCACCATTTCACCTTCTTCTGGGGACTTACTCTGTCACTGTGAGGGAGGGAGAGGGCTCAGGTCTGAATGGTAGCACTCTGTGGCCTCAGAAACATGAGTGTTTTTATTGGGGGGGGTGGGTTAAGCCCTGTGATGCTTGAGCCACATGGTCTCTTTCTGAGACATGTGCCCATTCACCTGCTCAAAAACACTGCCCTGGCACAGGGTATGTGCAGCAGGTGCTGGGGTCTACTCTCTTTGGGATGGGGGATGTCCATCCCCAGGGCCCCTTCTTACTTCCTTTTCCCTCCCTCTGACAATTCCAGCAAAAAACCAACCAGGGAGTGGGAACCCTTGTCTGAGCCCAAGGTAACACCTGTCTGCCTGCCCCAGGGTCTGGAGGTGGGCAGTTGTAGAGCACGTGGGCATCTCCACCAGACAGACTTGCCTTCCAGCCTCAGCTGCTGTGCCTGGCTCACTGAGGGCATCTGGGTTTAAAACAAGGGGCATTGAGGAGCTTGGGCCCTATAGTGGGTCATGCATGTGGGCTGGGCTGCAGTGCATGGCGCTCCACCAGGAATGCCTGTGAATTCACCTAGGTCTTCAGGCCCAGCTGGACACTTGTGTACCCATGCACATCAATGGCATTGAATTTCTGTCATGGACCCAGGCCTGCACTCTTGGTGTGCACACAGTCAGAACACAGATCAGTCAAGCTGCACTCTGTGGCTCTTCATTATGGCTCCCTGGGTCCTGCTCTGCTTCTCTGGTGCGTTAAGACTTAGAAAATAAGGCCCCATCTGCCTGTTGACCCTAGTAGGATCCAGGCTCTTTCCTTCCTGCTTGGCCTTCCTTCTACACATCCAGGCCAGTGTTACCTACACCTCCCAGGACAAATGAGCACTTTTGTCCCTGTGAGGCTGAATAGACCTGGTTGATAACTCTGCTGTCATTCTCTACTGAGTACTTGTAGCAGGCTAGAAACCCCCGTGTCCTCACTGAGCCTAATGTGCCTGTCCAACTCTGATGAGAGCTCCTGACAGCCATTTCTATTGTTAAAAATAACTTTATGGAGGCTGGGGAGATAGCGCAGTTGGTAAAGTTTTTGCTGTGTAAGCACAGGACTCGAGTTCAATTCCCTAGAACCTATGTTAAAATATCAGATGGAGTAGTAGCATGTGTCTGTAATCTGAGTACTGGGGAGGTAGGGCTAAGTGGATCCCTGGGGCTCACTTATCTAGTCAGCCTAGCCTCCAAAAGAAAGGTGGGGTGGTACCTGAGGAATCACACACATCCTCATGCACATGAACATGTATACACACATACACACAAATAGCTATAGTAAGGGCTGGGGCTGTAGCTCAGTGGTAGAGTGCTTGCTTAGCATGTACAAGGCTCTGGGTTTCATTCCCAGACCAGGCTGGCCTTGAATTCAACAGAGATCTGCCTGCCTCTGCCTCCAAAGTGCTGGGACTACAGGTGTGCACCACCACACCTGGCTAGCATTGCAAGATAAACAAAAATATCAGATTTACTGATAGATAATATATCATAGTTCACCTTTAAAAAATTTTTGTTTTTTTGAGACAGGGTCTCCCTGTAGCCCCAGCTGGCCTGGAACTTGCTATGTAGACAGGCTGGCCTCAATCTCACAGAGATCCACCTGCCTCTGCCTTCCGAGTGCTGTGTTTAAAGGTGTGCACCACCACGTCTGACAGTGGTTCACCATTTAAAAATGTACAATATAGTCGGTTAGGCTGCCATCACAACAGTTTTCCTCTGTGCTATCCCCACTTAAGTCTCATTTTCCACCATCCAATAATGTACTCTCAGCCTTCTACAGATTTGCCTGTTCTGGACATTTTCTGTAAATGGAATGATATCATGTGGCCTTTCGTGTCTGTCTTCTTAGCATCATAGTCTCAAGGCTCATCCACAGTGAAGCATGTGTCAGCGCTTCATTCCTTTTCATGACTAAGTAATACTTAGATGGACCACACTTCATCCATGGATGTTGTTTCTCTGTCTTGGCTGTCACAAATGAATGAAGCTACTGTGAATATTTGTATACAAGTGGAAACTATTTTCTCTGTTAGGAATTTGATTTATGTGAAGAAATTTATTGGCTTACTGTATCCTAGGAGCCCTGGGGCTTTTGTGGTGATCTAAGAGAATGCCTGTTTGTTTGGGAATTGGTGTTTTTAGAGAAATCGGTGCTCCCAAGCAGAGCTGGAGGTGTATCAGCGTTAGCAGTCAGGCTGCCCTGTTCCCACCTTGTTCCCAGGTGACCTGGTGGCCCCACCTCTGTGTTAGGAGAAGGAGGGAAGCCTTTCTCTAGACCTTCTTTTTAACCTCTTGCAGTAAGGTCCACCAGAACTGAGATGGCCTCCCAACCACGAGCCAGTCTGTTCTTTGTTTCTGTTTTTGTTTTCTAATAGAGGCGTTTCTTCCTAGGGACATACAGACATCACAATTTCCCTTCCCTGTTAAGGGACAGAGGCCCCAGTTTAGGCAAAGCTTGTAGATCATTGTTAGGAGAGATGGGCAGTAACCTGAGTGGCAAGCCTAGTAGCTTTTCCTCCAAGGGGGAGTCTGCTTGAGGAAAGCCTGAGACTGTGTCCCTTCTCCAGAGAGTTCCCCTTCCATCTGCTGAAACTATCCATGGCTGTCACACCAGGCAGCTCTAGTGGGGGATGTGGGCGACTCTTCAAGGACACAAGGACTCTTCTGAGAAGGGAACAGCCTTTCCTTCCCTCCCAGGGGTCTTCCCCTGATTGTTGCAGGCCTTTTCTGAAGGCCGGATGTGCTAGGCCAAGCCACACAGGCCCTGACACTGCCCAGGAGTTCACTGTGTAATAGTTTCTGCTCTACAGGAACTTCTAGCCTATGGGGAGGAAAAGGCAAGAGCCCTACAGTCCCTCAGAGAGCACGCTGCACCATGGGACCTGCGGTGTTACAGAGCTGCTTGGCATCTGTTTTATAGTTCCTTGCTCTTTTGAATAAATCTTGCTTCCCTATTGACAGAGGGAGGCAAAGTCTGCTTGGAAAAATGTAACAAGAAGAAAGGGGGAGAGCATCTAAAAGAGCAGGTGACAGTGACCATCCCTTATGTCCTTTAATGCTGATTTTCTGTTTGGTGAGCAGGAAGCAAGGCAGCGAAGACAGCCTCCGGGGCCCCGAGGCAGCCCCCGTGGGGGAGGAGGAAGTCCTCTTGTGAAAGGTGGTCACTGCGTGGAAAGTTGGGGGGCCCTGGCCCCCAGCTTCCCGGCACACATGCCTCTACTGCAGCCCGAGGAGGCGATGGAGCTGGAGTAGCTGCCTGGACCACTTGACCTCGCATGCCTGGCCATGTGGCCCTGCACAGGGCTGCTGCACCCTGAGTTTCCATAGCAGCATGTCCTACGGAAACCAAGCACGTGTGTAGAACCTTGACCATCATCTCTGGTTATTTGCTTTTGTTTTTATTCCTTTGTTGTTTTAAGGGGACAAAAAAAAAAAAAAAAAAAACTTGACTCCATGAACAAGGGAAGACTTGACTCCATGATGTCAACTTAGGCTGCTGGCTGGCCATACCAGTGGGTATGAGGAATTGCAAACTCAAACCCATGTACATTTTGGGACAGATGCTTTTTAAAATGTTTTTATGCCAAAAATCCGTCATTGTGAATTCAGAACCGTGTCAGATGTCCCAAGTGGATGTGTGTGGGATTTGAATTATTTAGAGATGTGAGCAGGGAAACTCTGCAGGCTGGGGCCTCAGAGTGTGGCTATACTTGAGAGGGAGTGGAAGGTTGGGTGTGACCCCTGTGTAAACCCCAAGCTGTGGCACCTTCCAGAACCATGGAAGAACAGGGCTAGCTCTCAGTAGCTGCAGGGAGCTTCGATGTAACATATTTGCAAAAAGGACTTTTTACTTTTTTTATGGGTAAAATTATAGTCAGGAAAACTGAAAGGGCTTGAAGTTTAAATGCTTCTTGAAGGGCATTTTTGGAAACCCAAAAAGGCATTCAGCAGCTGTGGTGGCAAAAAGTTTGTTTGGAGGGCTGAACACATTTTTGTATTAGGTCAGCTGCTCAGAGTGGGTTTCGGAGATCAGCTGAACTAATTCTCTTTGTAAAATGGCAAAAACTGCTGGGCGTGGTAGCGCACACCTTTAATCCCAACACTTGGGAGGCAGAGGCAGGTGGATCTCTGTGAGTTCAAGGCCAGCCTGGTCTACATAGTGAGTTCAAGGGCAGCTGGGGCTACAGGGAGACCCTGTCTCAAAAAGACCAAAAAAAAAAAGGCAAAAACTTTGGGGTGAAACCGTACACTTTCATGTACATTACATGGCTTACGACTCAACAGATATTCTAACTAGACTGAACTCTAGAGAAGTTCAGGAGTTCCAAAGAGCTTCTGGGATCTGTGTCAGAGCTTCCGCCATGCGATCCGGAGAGCCAGGAGAGTCGACGAAGTCTCTGCCTGTATATTAGCAGCTTTGCTTGCTTATTACGTGTATTCTAGAGACTGCTAAGGTTTTTTTCGTCTTAAATACTAGCTAGTCGATGTAGTCAGTGAAACACCAGTTTCCTGTGGGCCACTTGAGAAATACTGTCACTCAGCTAAGACACAAATGGCTGTCCTTACGATCAAAGCTTTAGTAGGATCCATATGGTGACACTGATCAGGACACTGTTTTAGAGACATGCTGAAACCCAGAGCACTTCTTGGGGCATAAGGCAGAAGGCTTTTTCCTTTTTCTTTTCTTTTCTTTTCTTTTCTTTTCTTTTCTTTTCTTTACCAAGTGTCATATCAATAGATATCCAGTGCCCTAAACTGTCAAGTGTTTCCAGTTTTCTTGAACACATCTCCCTACAGAAGCTCTCCCTGTTGATTCTTTGTGTCCATCTTGTGACTGAATACTGTCACCACTCAATAGTGGCATGCCAGGGAACACAGTCTTCCTTCCTTCCTTCCTTCCTTCCTTCCTTCCTTCCTTCCTTTCCTTCTTTCTTTCTTTCTTTCTTTCTTTTTCTTTTTTTTTTAAGTCAGAAGCCTAGAGAACAAATGTGGATCTTTTTGACTTCCAACCAGTATTGGAAGTTTGGTTGAGGTTTTGGAGTGACTACCCAGGGCCACAGGGGGATTTCAGACTCTATTTCCTAGTGCTTTGGGAGGGTCTGATTGAAATCAATATGTCATGTCAGTAACAGGGCTCAGAAGACTGTGTTCTGGTAGTTTCTATCTACCGAGCCCCTGTACAGGGTCTTCCTACAGAGGCAGAAGCAAAGCCTGTCCCCTCTGCATAGCCATTTGCAGAGCCCAGGTGTTCTTGGCTTCCATGGGTTTTCTTAAGCTCTTGACCATAGTTTAGCCAGATTTTTCTTGCTGTCACATAAGTGATTAGAACTAGGGCATGCTTGTTCCAGAAGACTCCAATCTGGGGAGGGGCTTCTCACCTGCTTGCATTGTCTGTGATCAAGTACTTCCTCTTGCCCTCCCTCTTTTAAATTTATGGATTAATACAGTAGCTCTACCCCTTCTGGCAACAGATGGGGTTTAGCTAGTTTGCAATAAGCACTTTGTGGTGGTTAAAGCCAACAAGTCTTTAGGCTCAGTCCCAGCCTGTCTGTGGACTCCAGCCTGGCCGAGTTGCCTGTCCAAGGAGGGCAGGCAGCATGCCAAGCCTTGCAGAACAATTGTGTTTACATGACCCTACTGGGCATTGCCATTTCTCCCTACCATGGAACTTTCAATCCAAGATGTCTTACATAGATTGCCAATGATTGGGCAGCACCCAGCAGGTGACCGGGCAGGTGGGGTTGGGAGGTCCACATCAGTAACTTTTTTTTTTTTCTTAAACAAAGAAACACCAAAGAAAGCTGTGGGAAGGAAGACCCCCCCCATGTAAAGTATAAGCAGGCCCCACTGTAACTAGAGCATTAGAGCACACAGTTCTCAAAAGCTGGCTCTGTCAGAAAAGGAAGAAGTTGTCATGAGCAGCTTTTCTATGTGGGCGAATAGGATGCCTACAATTTATTCTGTTGCTGGTTCATCCGTGGACTAATATGTAAGCAATCTTGGCCTGCACCTATGCCCTTGAAGGAAGCACAAGTCCCACCTTTCTTTTTTCTTTCTCTGTCTTTTCCACCTCCCCTGAACATCACACAGTCTACCAGTGGTCCCCAGATACCTTACAGGGCAGGGCCTCCTGTTGGCACTTGGGGCTACAGAGGCCACCTCTCCTCTGGACTAGCCTTTCTATGGGACAGAGCTTCTATCCCCAAACCTTTCTGGAATTAGAACACCTGTTCAGGTTGACACCAATTTAGGCCTGTTGCTCTCACCCATCTTGCAGAGAGGGAACTATGTTATTATAGCAGAACCAGAACCTCCACTTCCTCCCAAGGTGCCAGGGAGGCTTGTTGGTCTCCGTCTTCCCTCCAGCTTTGTGGGCTGAGTTGTGTGGGAGCTTGGACTTTTCTATCTTATGATCGATGCCCAATGCTTGTTTCATTCCTGATCCTTTCTACTATGCATTTTCCTTTTATCAGGTGTACAAAGTTAAATACTGTGTATTTATCACTTACAATTACATGAACTTAAGAGAAATGATAAGCCTTTGGTTGTTTTTCCACAGATGATTAAGCTTCTCTGTAAACTTGAAATAAACAGACAGCAAATGGTGCAAAGCTCAGGCCTCCTGAGGGTTCTTCGGTCAGTAGCTGTTTCTTTGTGCTGTTTTTCCTTATGTTGGTGTTCTTTCCTTAGGCTGACAACATGCCAGATGTTCAAGTCAAGGCTAATGCAACTGTTAGATCCTTGATATAGGCATGTCCTAGGGTGTTGCTGCTCTGTGTGGTTCTGAGCCTAGTCCTCAGAAACAGGGCAAAATACATACACATGGGCCCCATGCACACAGCTCCCAGTGAGCCACCCAAAGGTTAAAGCGTGAAGGTAAAGACAGATTCAGGGAGGCTGGACAGGTGAGCAGCTAGGAGGGGTTTTGATCATAGGAGACCTGTCCTGTGGGTTGGGCATTCTTCTGGCTTTGAACTTCACTTTTCTGTTACTAGGAGACAGCAGGTGAAATCTGAGATTCCCATTCCATGCTGCAGAAATATGGGCTGTTGTTGGGTGTGGTGGTATATGTCTGTAATGCCAACACTTGCAAGTCAGGGAGATTACAAGTTCAAGAATAGCCTGGCCTACATAGTGAGACTATCTAAATAAAGGAAGGAAAGAAATACAGGTTTGTAAGAATGAGGAGAAGGTGCTTCTGTTCAAAAACTCCACTGAGAATCTGAGGATGGTGAGAAGCCATTCCCCAGGGTGCATCACTGTGGAGGTCTTTAGGGGCTTCAGGGAAACACAGAAACGCATCCATGCGTGCAAGGGTGAAGACTCTCACTTAAGAGGCAGCACTAGGCTGTACCAATGAGTAGGATGCAGACAAATGCGACATGACTCAGGTAAGTAAGCAATGCCCTTAAATCTCCCTCAGTCCCCTGGTCCATTGATCCTTAGCCTGCAGGATAGTGAACAAATTATTTGTCTTAGTGTATATATGCTGCTATAATGGGCCTGAGACTGCCTACTTTAAAAAGAGCAAACATGCCAGGCATGGTGGCGCACACCTTTAATCCCAGCACTTGGGAGGCAGAGGCAGGCGGATCTCTGAGTTCAAGGCCAGCCTGGTCTACATAGTAAGTTCCAGGACACCTGGGGCTACAGAGAGACCCTGTCCCCCCCAAAAAGAGACAAAAATAAATAAGTAAATAAATAAATAAGAGCAAACATTTCTCAGAGTTCTACAGGCTGGGAAGTTCAAGATGGTGTCCAGAACATGGAAGGGCCACAAAGCAGTGAATGCCCTTTGTCAAGCCTTTTTTTTTAGGCACTTAAATCCCATTCATGGAGGCAGAGCCCTTGTGACTCAGTCCCCTCCCAGAGGCCCCATCTCCCCATCCTGTTGCATTGGATGCAAGCTGCAAGCTGGAAATTTCTAAATCATGAATTTGGGGGGACACATTTCAACCATGTCTCTGTTCTAAAATTTCCAACTCCATTTGATCTGTATGTTGAAGCGAATGCTTCACAAAGATCTGCCTTCCTCTGCCTCTGCCCTCTGTTCTAAAATTTCCAACTCCATTTGATCTGTATGTTGAAGCGAATGCTTCACAAAGATCTGCCTTCCTCTGCCTCTGCCTCCCAAGTGCTGGGATTAAAGGCGTGCGCCACCACACCTGGCTTTAAAAGTTTTAAAAATTGCAATTATAAATGTATGGTGTGTGTGTGAAGATCAGAAGACAACTTTTGGCAGTCATTTCTCTCCTTCTACCTCATGGGTTCCAGGGTCCAAACTCAGGTAGTCAGGCTTTGTGGCAAGCACCTTTAAAAGACCTGCTAAGCCATCTTGCTGGCCCACTGAGTACTTTTTTTAAGGAGACCACCCAAACCAGAGCTTTACTGAAACCATTTCATAAACCTTATTTTGTCCCCCAAAGCAAGAAAAGCCTAGGTTGGTCATTTATCTGGCAGAAGCAGAGCACTTCTATCACATCGCCCCGCTTAGTACTTGGGAATGAATTGACTCCTGGCAAAGAGGAGGGGCAAGCTGCTTTTCCCAATATAAAATTAAGTCACTGTGAAGTTGTGAAGCTGCAAGCTGGGAATAGAGCTTAGATTTGCATTTGTACCTGTAGCAAGATAGGTGCTGGTGGTCTCACATCCAGCTCAAAGCTTGGGAAGCCCTTGGGGAAGGGAAAGGATGAGCCAGTTCCTTGAAATTGTGATACCTATAGAGTAGTAGTCATTTTATATAAGAACATCACGGGCTAGAGAGGTGGCTCAAAGGTTAAGTGTGCTTGCTGCTCTTGCAGAGGACCTGAGTTCAGGTCCCAGCACCCGCATTAGATAGCTCACAACCATCTATAACACCAGCTCCAGAGGACTTGATACTCTCTTCTAACTTCTGTGGGTCTGAGTGTGCATTCAGGGACACACATACACACACACACACAGCCCAGTAGTGAAATACGTCTTTAAAAAACTCCCATTAGCACAGATGAGAAACTACTACAGAAAAAGTATGCACACACCATAGGAACACAACCTAATGAAGACTGAAGTTTGGGTTTGTAGGAGGTTAAAGTAGGTTAAAAAAAAAATTGCCAAAGTTCCAGAAGCACAGTCTGGGAATGAGTGGTAGAGCTCACACACGCACAAAGCTTTTTATCAGAAACAAACTTCCTGAGACCTCTCTAGGTACAATGAGCTGGATCACAATAGAATTTACCAATGGAAGGTATCAGTCAAATATTGACAGAGGGAGGTTCTCCAAAAGATTATTCAGGGATGGTAGAAGGGTCTTAGTGCAGGAATTGAGTACATTGTGGCCCAGGACAGGACAGGTGGCATATGTGGGCACTCCAGGAGGAAGAGGCCAGGAGAAACTTTGAAACGAAAAAGCAGAAGTACTTGCACGGCAAAACACAAGTTCTTGGGTCATGGGCTTATCAGAAGCTGTGATGTCTACAGGCTGTGGCTAGGACAATAGTGCTTCATGGAAGCACTGGCTAAGGTTGTGACTAGGACTGTCTATTCCTGGAAATGGCCATCACTACAAGATTGTGCTTAGGCACAACTTACTATGAGGCAGATACATGTGAGGACATCCCCCACCCCTTCCTGGCTTCCTATTTTGTGGTCCATTTGGATGTTGACAACATTCATAAAGGGGAGGAGGACTCTAGCACACATAAAGACAGCACAAACAAGGATTTTAAAAAATCATTTGTTTTAATATTTGGTCCTCAATCATTTCAACACCTTCCAACTCTGTCTTGTCATTACAAGGACAAAGTCTCTGGTTATGGGAAAAAGGAGCAGTGTCCCAGACCTGACGATAGCACTTAGGAGGACTTCCTTTATAAGCCTCAGAGGGCTGGGCCTGCTCTGGGGGTCTGGAGACTGGGAGCTTCCAAGGAAAACCAGTCTTGGAGTTGCTGGAGAAGGCACCAGTCCCAAAACCCACAGCAGCGTCTCTGCCCTCAGGCCAGCATCTTATGCTGACATCCCCACATTGTATAAACAACAGGAGGCCCAGCCAACAATCCACCAGGAATCCACTGTGTGCAGAGAACACATGAACTCTACACAAAAAGTGAGAGAAGATTCTAGTTATAGAGCCAAGAGGAATGCCTTGAGTTTGAGGCCAGGCTGAGTTATAGATGAGAGCCTACCTCAAAAGGAAAACAACAAAACAACCCCCAGAAGATGGCTGTAGTGGTACACATCTGTAATCCTAGTACTCTGGAGGCTAAAGAAGAGGATCTTGAGTCTGAGGCCCGTCTGGGCTACAGAGCAAGATCCAGGCTCAAAAACAAAACAATACAAGAACTACTAGGCAACCCTGAGTATTTGTGAAGACTGAAAGAACCTGGAACTTCCTCTAGGGTGACATAGCAGCCATTTCTCCCATCTCACTGCACTGATGAGGACCGTGGGGAGTCCAGGTGTAGGGTGGGCGTCATTGGTCCCTCTCACCAGCAAGACCCTGCAAAGAAAGATTAGCACATAACTAAACCCAGCAGGTGTGACACCATGCACACCCCCACCACCTTGGGCAGGTGGGAGCCAGGTGGTATTCCTGAAGACTTTTATGGTCCTTAACAACAGAGAGGACTCACAGTGCTTCTGGAGGAAGGTCTCAGGGTATGGTACAGAATCCTTGCTATGTAAGATGAATTTAAGTATCGTGAATGTAGATACTGGCATACTATCCATTATCATAATCAAGGTGTCCCTAATTAAAACAAAGATGAGCTGGGTGTGGTGGTGCATGCCTTGGGAGGTAGAGGCCAGTGTAGTCTACATAGAGAGTTCCAGGACAGCTGGAGCTACATAGTAAGACCCTGTCTCAAAAACAAAAAAGCTGAAGAAAAGAAGTAAATACTAGAACATTTGGTCTAGAGGTGGAATAGACACTGGGTAGCAGGTAACTGCCTGGGTGACGAGCTGAAAGGTACCACAATTGTGCCAGCCTTTGTAGAAGACTTTGCCCAGGTTCTTCACTGGGATAAGAGACTCGAGGTGCTCGGACTTCCAGGAGCACAGGCAGTGCCTACCTGTTCGTAGTCTTCCACATACTTGTATTTCTTGTCCCGGTAATAGTATCTTTTCTTCATGCAGTAGAGAACTATGATGTCACACAGAACTGTTGCCTGAATTTAGCACAGGATGAGACAGAATGAGCCAGGATGCTTTTAGATCCTGTTATTTTGTATAAAGCCCTTCCTTTGAAACCTAAAATCTACTGGGAAGGAAAGGTGCCTCCATCTTCCTGGATAATACTGGACTTCAAAGGGCTTGGTCTTGGAGAAGGGATGTGTAGAGGTCAGGGGGAAGTAGTCTGAGCATCTAGTCTAGAGACAAGTCTAAGGTTTTGGAGAAGGGTGCCGACTGATAAATCCTCACTAAGCTGCTTATTATGGAGAAAGGCCCAGTCCCAGTGAGAGGAGAACAACTTCAGCCGCTTACCACCCCCAGCAGTGCCAAGCCAGAGCCAATATTGATCATGGTAGGGATGACGTCAAACTTCCCAGCCTACATAAGACAGGAGGAGGTGAGACCAAGGAGGAGTGGGAGGCCCCCTGTGTTGGTGGGGTGCAGGCGAGAGCCAACCTTTCCAAACACGATGATGTCAAAGCGGATGCCATATGCCTTGATGAGCGTGCGCTGCTCGTTGCCAGTGAGGTCCTTATAGTACTTGGCAAACCTGGGGGCAAGGAGTGTGGGTTAGGGGACAAGGACAGATCTTGGGTTTAGGGAGAAGGTTGTTAGAATAGGACTCAAGTTCCTGGCATAGCTGGCTCTAGCTAACAAGTTGCTCTGCTAGCTCAACAGATACCAAGCACCTCAGGCCAACCTCCCTTGGAGGAGCACAGGGCAACTCCTCTATCATCACCATGTCCCACAGAATGGTGGAAGCCTGACTCTTACTCTGAATGGCCTTTCTGATAACTGCTAAGCCACCTGCTTCTCTTGAGGGGACCCTGGCAAGAACTTGGCCAGTCAGCAACAATCTCTAGAACTATATTACAAGATGAGGGCTCTGAGCCAGCCACAGAACTTGCAGCATTAGCCCCATCAGCATCAGCATCGGCTAGCTCCTGGTAGGATGCCCCAGGCTTCACTGGTTCTTCCTGTTCACCATCAGATTTTTTTCTTTTTCTTTTTCTTTTTTTTTCCTGGTCTTTTTGAGACAGGGTCTCCCTGTAGCTCCAGCTGTCCTGGAACTCATTATGTAGACCAGGCTGGCCTTGAACTCACAGAGATCCGCCTGCCTCTGCCTCCCGAGTGCTGGGATTAAAGGTGTGCGCCACCACAACCAGCTCAGATTTTCTTTTTAAATGGCTGGGTTGAGAGACAAAACAATTTTATACTACTCACTCACCAAACTATAGAATTCAAGCCAGATATGGTGGAAGACACTTGTAATCCCGGCACTCTAGCAGCTGAGGCAGGAGGATCATTATGAGTTGAAGCCAGCCTGGGCTACAGAGTGAGTTCAAGACCAGCTGGAGCAACATAATGAGACCTTAAAAGAAGTGTGAAGCTGGTGCTGGCTGAGGCCAGGGACTGGGTGTACTGACGGCTCCAGCAACTTCTCTTAGCTCTAGGGTTCCAAACCAAGCTTGAGGTATCCATGGTGGTCTCTATAGAACCCTCAGCTGGAAGAGATGTTGCCAAACAAATAACTCCCAGGGGAAAGTTCAAATACCTGAAAGCCAGATAGTTCCCAAGGGTATCAGATCTGCTCTCTTACAACCCCCGGTTGATACCACATGTCACCACTAGAGGGAGTCAAGGGCAACAAAAGACCCACTCAGGCGCCCCTACTATTAAGAAATGCTGCAAAGAGCACTTAGAAGCACAACATGCTACTTGGAGGAAATAGCAAAGATGCCCCTGGGTCTTTCACCAGATCTCCAGGTATCCTGGACTTTATTAAGCTATTACATCCTCTTCTCCAAGTTCTTGTCTACTCGGGACCTACAAGTGTGAGATCTGGAAATAAGACCTTACAGATTTAATAAGATGAAGTCATACTGGATTAAGGTGGGCCCTAAAACTAACATGTACTTTTTTATCATGTAAATTTTAAAAATTTATTTTTATGCGTATGATTGTTTTGCCTGCATGTATGTAAGTGCACATGTGTGCAATGCCCATGGAGGCCAGAAGAAGGTGTCAAATCTCCTGGAACTGGAGTTAAGGACAGGTAATAGCCACTATGTGGGTGCTGGGAACCAAACCTGGGTTTGAGCCATCTCTCTAGTCCCATGCCTAGTATACTTTTAAGATCAGGAAAAGCAGCTGGGCATGGTGATACATGCCTGTGATCCCAGTGCTTGGGGGGTGGAGGCAGGAGGATCAGGAGTTCAGGATCATTCTTAGCTATATAGTGAAGAAGAGAAGAGGTCATGAAGAGGGGAGAAAACCACATAAACACAGAGGCAGAGACCCGGGTGACACATCTACAAGCCAAGGATTGCTGTTGGCCACTAAACACTTGAAGAGGCAAAGAAGGATCCTGCCTTGGAACCTGCCATGCAGACACCTTGATTTTAGACTTCTGGCTTCAGAACTATGAAGGAATAGAATGCTGTTGCTTTAAGCCATTCAGTTTTATTTGTTACTATCGCCCAGGGAAGCTGATACACCAAGGTTTGCAGCAGGAAAATATAAGCGGAGATTTGGGGGTTTTGTTTTGTCTTTTTGAGACAAGGTCTCCTTGTAGCCCCAGCTGTCCTGGAACTCACTCTGTAGACCAGGCTGGCCTCGGACTCCCAAGTGCTGGGATCAAAGGTGTACGCCACCACACAGGGCTGTTTTGTTTTGTTTTTGAGACAGGATCTCGCTATGTAGTTCAGGGTTGCCTCAAACTTGTGCTCCTCCTGCCTCAGCCCCCCAAGTTCTGGGATTATAGGTGCATACCCGTCTTAAGCATAATTCTTTTCAGAACCTAAGGCCTAGAGATTCTGGGGCAGGCTCAACTATTCAGAAACCAGTTCCTGGCTAGGTCCCATTGGCCTCTGGACAGAGGGTTAGTCATTTGTTCCCCATAACTGAGCAAGGCCAAGGCTGATCTTCGGAAGCCTAAGCTGCCAGCTTCTCTTAGCTGCCCTGCAAACCTCAACATGTTTCTTACAGCATGAAAGAGCAAAGAGAGATTTTAAGGGCCAGGATGCCACAGGAGCAAGGCCCTGCTTGGAATATTCTGCCCAGTACCTGGCCTTCCTGCTTTGGATTGTTGATTCCAGCCTGTCCTGGAGGTACTGGTCTTTGGGGGAAATGGATAACCCCATAGGTATGTACTATCACCCTCCCAACACATGACTAACAGGTCCCAAGCTCACACATACCTGAAATTATAGCCAGGAGATACATTGTGTTCGAGGTCCCGGGTGTCAAGGCGCCGGAAGGAATACCTAGGCAGGCAGAGGGAGGCGGTTCTGTCCAGGTTGCAGTCCCAGTTGATCTGGATGCCCATGATTCCTCCCTGTGGGGTAGGGGGAGCAGTGGAGATATAGCAAGGCATTCATCAGTGCCTGCTCAGGTCCATCTGGGGCCAGGATGGTGTGAGAAAAGCTGGGTGAACACCTACCTCGACTGCCATGTCCTGGAAGCTGTGCCCTGCATCCTCTACAATTTTGCCAAGACGGAATATGGGGCAGAAAGGATCTGTTTGAGCATCATAAATGCATGATTTGAGATAGGAGGTGGTGATGTTGGGGAGGATATTCCTCCTAAAGTCAGGGAGGAAGTAGAATGTCAAAGCCAGGAAGACCTCAGGAAACTGCCAGAAGTTCCTCTAAGAGCTTGTGAGCTTGCACACCTGGCCACCACTTACTTGCTGAAATTAAATTTTGGATACCAGATGTTGTTCTTCACCAAGAGAGTAAAGTTTTCTGCAGCCTTTAAAAAAGCAGGCCTGGAAAAAAAATTGTAATGTTAGTACTAAAAATACACATACACACATATGCATCTATTCACATGGCTATGTAATATTTCCAATACACGGTTTACTTTGTCAAGAAGAAAGTGAAACATGGGCCTGGTAAGATGGCTCAGGAGCATAAAGGTGCTGGCCAAGCATGCCTGCCGAACTGAGTTTGATTCTCAGGACCTATGTGGTAGAAGGAGAGAACCTGTCTTTAAACGTTGCCTCTGACCTCCATACATATATGTGCATGCTAATAAAAAAAAATTCTTCATAAAACAAAGTGAAGCATCTCTGGCATTCTCTGCTCTCTTCTGTATAAACACTAGGTCATGGAAAGTGTTGAAACTGGCCTTCTGGGATGGTTCTCTGGAAAGGCAGGACCTCTTGCCCAAGTATTGGGCCATGGAGAACCTGACCATTTGCTAATGAGAGTACTGGTTGTGGCCTCACAGAAATTATTCCCTGGCATCTACTGGTCTCACGTTTGCCTTTCAGGTGTTGTTGGGGAACAAATGCCCCACAGATCTGGTTTTAAGCACAGGTGAGTTCACCAGTACACTGCATCCTGCCAGCTGGCCTGCTACCTTCTCAGAGGTGCCCCATCAGCTCTGGGCTGACAACACAAGTTGAGTCTGTCCCCAAGGGAACTCATTTTTTTTTAATTTATTATTTTTATGTGTATGCATGTATTGCCTGCATGTAGGTAAGTGCACCCGTGTCGTGCAATGCTCACAGAGGTCAGAAGAGGCTGTCGGATCCCTTGGGACTGGAGTTACAGACAGTTGTTAGCTGCCATGTGGGTGATGGGATTCGAACCCAGGTCTTCTGCAAGAACAACCAGTATTCTTAACCACTAAGCCATCTCTCCAGCCCAGGAACTCATTTCTTTTGTGGAACTGCAGGGCTGCCTTTCTTTGAAGGAGGCCTCCCCTGGGTCAGATAGGAACTTTGAAGTTATAAATGGAATCACCAGTCTTCCCAACCCTGCTTCAGGAGCAAGGCCACTGAGGGCCATATGTGGAGGTCCATGGGCTGAGTCCATCACCCCTGCTGCCAAGCATCAATCAGGCTCAAAGTCCCCATTCCACATCAAGGAGAGATTAAAACAGAGGAGGTTTTCATCCTTTTTTTCCCCTTTGGAAGCTATGCCTCCCCAACTCCCAGCCTGTATTGAGTGGGACTGATGGCAGCTAGTTCCAGAGGTGGCTATATGACCTGAGTCCAATCTGAGAAGCAAAGACCATCCCCTAGCCATGGCTGTGGGTTGAGGGACATTCCAATGGCATGATGATGGACATGGAGGGAGAGTTAGCACAGCTGCCTCCTGGAACTCCTAGAATCCTCTAATGAAGCTGACATGAGGAAGGCAGAGGCATAGGGAAGCTGATATTCTGAGTTCCAGACTTAGCCTTACTTGGTCTTTTTTGTTAGCTATGTGGATGTGTATATGTTTGCATATGTGCATGGTACTTAAAACACTAAAATCCAGGTGTGGGAGGCATGTGCTTATAATCTAATACTTCTAGAAGCTGAGGCAGAAGAATCAAGAGTTCAAGGCTGGCACATGCCTTTAATACAAGTACTACTCGGGAGGCAGAGGCAAGCAGATCTCTGTGAGAGTGAGGCTAGCTTGGTCCATATCTCAAGTTCCAGGCCAGCTGGGGTTACAGGGAGATCCTGTCTCAAAAAAAAAAAAAGGAAAAAAAAAAAAAGAGGACTGGGCTGGCAACATGGCTCAGTGAGTAAAGGAGCTTAAATTCCACCTCTGGGTTCTACAAGGTAGAAGGAGAAAGAAGAAGTGAACTTACTTGGGCTACATAATGAGACTCTATCAAAAAATACAAGATCAAAAAACCCATTGATAACTTTTCTGTTGGTTACTTGCAAATGAGAGAGTTTTAGCACACAGCAGTTACCTGTATACCCTTATCTCAATGACAAACCCTGTCACCCTCTTGCCACAGTCACGACTATGTAGTTGACACTCTCCCAAGGTAGAATGACTCCATTCACACCAGGAATGCATGAACAGTCTCTCCTTTTCTATGACCTCCCTCCAAGGCTGAGAACCTGGGGTAGGACTCACGTTGGCACACCAGCGTCGTCCTCCACTGGGCACCATGCTGCCACCTCACAGGTATGCACAGACTCATTGAATGACACACATTTTCCAGTCTCCACTCCTACAGAGAAAGGATGGGCCCAGGTCCATAGGGGTCTCCAATCTTCCACCTTTGTGAGGTGCAGTGAGAGACCCTATAGGATCCTGGGTAGCCAATCTTTAGTTAAGCCCAATTCTGATATCTAGATGGTGTCCAGAAGTGGAAGTGGAACCAGAAGGCTGTCTCAGAGCTGCCTGCATCTCTGCCAAAGTGATACCAAGTCAGAAGGGGGCAAGGTTTGGGCTGTCTGGGGCTCCCACAATACAGGCAAATGCTGAGTAGGTCCCTGGGTTCTGCCTTTACACCAAGCTCTCCTAGGTTCATACAGTATTGAGAGTTGGGGAAATTTTCCTTCTCTGGTGCCGGACTGGAACCCAAGATAAATTTGTGGTTTACCATTGAGCTATATCCCAGGCTGAGGGGAATTTTTTCTCTCTCATAGTGACTGATTTCTCTATCACAGATGTTCCACAGGGGTTGTGGTCTCATAGGAAGCCACATTCCCCAGGCCCAGCATCTGCTGAGGAGTCCTGGCTGCTCACTCATACCATTGCTGTGGGTGCTTGTGGAGCCAGGAATGCAGTCAGAGTCTGAATTACAGATGGTGGTCTTATCAGGAATCTGGAAAAATGAATGAAAACAGGCTCCTGTGGTCTAGCCCCACATCCAGTTTGTCAAGGGTAGAGAGGTGGGTGTGAAGCAGACACCTACCTCTGCACAGGTGCTCTGTGTCTGGTTCATAGTGATAATCATATTAGTCATGATGAAGAGGGAGTTTTCCTCCTGCAGAGAGGAGAGAGTCCTGTTGAGTTCCCTCAGAGGAGGTGAGCAGGGTCATAAAGCCAGAGTCTGCCTTTGAACTCCTGATCCTCCTGCCTCAATCTCCTGATTGCTGGAATTACGGACATGGACCACTAAACCTTTTCAGAAGTTTTCTTAATAGAACAATTTAAAAAACACCCATCTATGGTCTCCTCCTGTTCACATCCATGAGGGTTTATAACCTCTTATAAAATGAGGAGTTAAAATAGCAATGGAAACAAATACATGCACACAAATGTTGCTAACAGCAGGAAGGTGGGAAGCAAATCAGGTGTCTAGAGATAAATGGATAAACCAGATGTGGTCTATCCATGCAAAGGAATGGCATTTGCTTGTAAAAAGATACATGCTGCTACATGAAGGAACCCCCCAAAACATGCTAAATGAATCAGGCACAGTTGCACATGCCTATATTAGCACGTTGGAGGTGGAAGGAGGAAGATCTGGAGTTCAAGGATAGCTCCAGATACACAGTGACCTGGAGGCCGGCCTATGGTACATAGGCTCCTGACTCAAAGGAAAAAGAAAACAACTAAATGAAAGAAGGCCTGGAGGTGGAGCTCTGTGGTATGCACTTGCCTAGTATGTGCAAGGCCCTAGGTTTGATTCCCAGCACTGAGCCCCCTGAAAACAAACAACAAAAAGAAGTCATATATAATTTGATACAATTGATATGAAATTTCCAGAAGAGATAAGTCCATAGAGACAAAATAACTCTTTCAAGGGGCTTGGGTGGAGATAACTTCATTTCTTTCGGAAGGTGATGAAAATGTTCTAGAACAAAACAGGATGGTTGTACAACTTTATAATCCTTCATTGAAAAGTGTTTTTTGCTGTGTACTCATTTAAAATTGTTGGTGCTGGAGAGATAGCTCAGAGGTTAAGAGCCCTTGTTGCTCTTCCAGAGGACCTGAGTTTGAATCCCAGCACCCATATCAAGTGGCTCACAACTGCATGTAGCCCCAGTTCCAAGGGATCTGACACCCTCTTGGGCACCTGCACTCATAGAGACACACATACATACACATAAATTTTTTTTTAGCCTGCCTTCCTTCCTTCCTTCCTTCCTTCCTTCCTTCCTTCCTTCCTT